AGGGAAACAGTATACAAGTGGAGGATTTGATCAAAAATACTAATTAAAGGCAGCAAGCAGTTTCCTGCTCCTGCCTCTGATATTTTAGTTTGCATCTCAGTTGCAGAGCCCTTGCTCAACAATTTTTTTGCAAGGCTGCATCCTGTGCCTTCATTACAGGGATTCCCTGGGTCATTTTTTATTGTTAACTCTTAGGGTAGATTCTCCCTTCCACCTATAGCAATGAAGGCAAAATAGGACAATCATTCCCCAGTGGGGTGGTATGGCAGTGGGGCTATACCAGAGAGCCAGCTGGCAGACAGGCTAAGAGTCGACTTCATTCCACTCATACCTGATTTAGTACAGTTTGTCAGTCTGTGCTCAGTAACTTGAATATCACTTGACAGTAATTAGATACAGAATATTGGAATTCACAACTAAGCCTGCTCTGGCACTGAAGGCATTATTGCTGCTTGCTACAGGAAAAAACCGCATGTGAGTGCTAGGGTACCTTACCAGATCATGCTCCTCTGTCACTCAAATATTTTGGCCACTTCTTCTCTCCTGCCTGGCTACCTTTGGATCTTACTCCAGATAGAAGTATAGGTATGGGAAATCTTTCATAGCACAGATTGCCCTTGGCAGTATGTCTCTAGCAGTATCACCGAGACATCAGACCTGCCTTCTTGGTATCTCTTCAAATCAACATCTTTGCTTCTTCAGGACTTGTGTGAATCCTCCCACTGAAGTATTGTTTAACTTCTTTGCTCTAGGGCTAGTTTCACTTACTAAGTCAGCTGGTCCTTAACTACCTGTGTGTTTTGGGGTTTGTTGGTGTTTTTTTTTTTTTTTTTGGATTAGTCACTCATCCTCAGCATATGCCCTTGGGTAACTTCTCTGCTTTTTTGCTGATCAGTGACTTGATCCGTGTTCTTTAGGAATGTACATTCAGTGCCAAGTCAACATTTATCTGTCTAAGATTCTCAGTAATGGCAGCTTGGAATTGAAGACAGACAGCAGACTGTCCCATTGCAAGTAACATCTTGAGATAGGCCTTTTCCAAATGTGGACCTTTAAAGCACAGTTTACAGCAGTCTTAACCCTTAAGTTCTCAGAGCCTGGGCAGTTTGCATATCCAGATAGATGATCTTTTGTGTTTTCTGGGTGTGTCATTCTTTTGTTCTTCTCTGAAACTTCCTGTCGCCAGCATCTAGTGATAGCACTGGTTTGGGCTTAACTGTCTGGCATCCTCCCTCCTATTCCCATTGCTAGCCAACTGTTGAATTTAATATCTTGTGTACCCAGATTTGAAAGAAACTGCAAATTTTTGCAAATATATGCGACAGGTGAGCCTCACAGCAAGGTGGAAAAGGGTATACTTTTTGCTAAATGCATTAATTTTTTAAGGATTTTTTTTTTCTTACTGTGAGTGTTTCCTATTGCTTTTTCTTTGGGTAATGTATATATATTTTTTTCCCTTAGGCTGTTGAAGATTCTGAGCAAGAAAACAATAAAAAGGTGACACATAGGATGTTATGTAGTTTGTTTTATTGCTTTATATATAACATACATATTACTTACCATGCATTCTTAGTCATTTAACAATTTTATGCACAGTTTCACTGCACCTACAGAGTATTTTTGAAAATTACTCTACCTCCTTTTCTCCTCGAGGGTTTCTTCTGCTATAGTTTTATACCGGGGTTAGGGCTGTCAGAAAAACTGGGGACAGACAGGAGTGCATGACTTTTGCCTCCTGAGAAGTGTCTGATCTCAGTCTCAAATGTGATGCACTGGGAAACAACAGTTCTTTGAATGGTGTTGAGACGTATCATCCCTGCTTCTTTTTTTTCCTCTTCCCTTACTCTGACTGCACTTTGTTTTCCTCTCTCTTTTTCCTCCTTTTGCTTTTCCTTGGGACTTCTGCATTTATCTTCTCCCAGGAATCCCTTCTGTAAGACTCTTCCCACCTCCCTCTACTTTTCTCCTTCCTTCTCTTCTCTCATTAAAGCTGCTCCTGTTCCTAACCACACTTTGTTTCAGTCTATGTTGTTTTCTAAGTGGGTTCTGCTTCTTTTCTTGAGGGGTGGGGAGGTGTAAATAACCTAGAGAGATCAACTTTCCAGACAGTGAACAGAATTCTGCAAGGAAGTACTAAGTATATTAAAAAATTCTTACAGTACAGCTTTTTAGTTTCAGAATGCAACCTGTGTTTGTCAGAAAGTTCTCCTCCATTCAGTGTTCACTACAGTAGGTTAGGTTTTTTGGTAACTGGCTCACTGGTAGGAGAACAAGCAAAAATGTTTGTGGGGAAAAATGCCATGAACAGTAAGCCTTGTGGAGTTTGCTTAGATTGACAGAGATCTTTCTTTTTCTTTCTTTTCTTTCAGTGAAAAGAATGTGTTTCAAACTGGTTTAGGGAAAGGAAAAAGTTGGACAGGTAGATCCACATGAGAAGTGCTTCCTATTGTGGGTTTCTAGCAGATGAGATACTTGTAGAAAACTTTCGAAGTTCTGTTTTAAATATAGTGCATATTTATATGAACGATGGATTCAGATTTTTATCATTTTAAGTGGCCAGGAATATGAGCTTGGTACTCTGTCTCTTGTTCGTCTTGTGACATCTGTTTGTCCCACGAAGGTTGTAATCCCTATATTTTGGTCTGCTTTTATTAGTAAAGATTCGCAACTGAAGCTATTGGTGTTTTGATGTTGAGAAAGTTCTACTCCGTACCAAGTATGCATTACCCCACTGCAGTTGCTATGAGAAAATGTATATTAAATTACAATTCTTAGGAATTTATTTGACAAAGATAGATTATTATCTCCCACCGTTGTTCAGTCTGTTGTAATATTTACCTTTTATCCCAAAGTTACCCTACTAACATCATGTAATATTTACCCACTGCTTAGGAGCTTTTCTATCATCAGTCCTCTTGCATGCATCCTGTAACATTGAGAGTGTTTGGTGCATATATCAGTAAGAAAATAAATCTTAATTTACGACATTAAATTTCCACTTTTCTTGTATTAGTTTGCACTTTATTTAACTTTCTGCAGATTTGGGTATAATTTTGTGTCACATTTGAAAATTCCAACAATAGCATTTGCACACACAAATAGTGATTATTCTTTTTAATGTGTTTTCAGGGTTTAGTAACTGTTGAAGATGAACAAGCGTGGATGGCATCTTACAAATATGTAGGTGCCACAACCAATATACATCCATATTTATCAACAATGGTCAACTATGCTCAACCTGTAAAATTTCAAGGTTTCGATGTAGCAGAAGGTAACATAAAAGGTTGAATGAAATAAAAGTATTTGTCTGCTTATTCTAGGTAGTTTTTTAATCTCTACATTTCCTGAGTTGAGAAATGGTGTAAGACTTTTATAGGTTAATGACCGTCATCAGTATATTTTTAGATCTCTGTTTCCTTGAATGTAAAGTTAGCATGTTATTCCGCTGGTCATCCACACGGAGTCACTAAATTACTGGGAGAATATGAAGCTGTTGAGGTTGATTATAGGCCTTTCCAACTAAACTGCCTTTTTTAGTTCATCTTTCTGTAAAGTAAGGCAAGCGTGATTGTCACAGTGGTCAGCAGTTAGCTGATGCTTTCATATTGAACACTAGACCATTTATCATGTTGTTTTGCCTTACCTAGCCACACAACACAGGCTCTGAATAACAATTTTTTCCTAAATAAAAAATGAAAGTTTTGTTGATTTCCCAGGAAGTGAAAGAAAAAGGCAAGTCAGAAATATTATGAAATTTCTCTTCGGTATAATTTGATTGTATGAGTGACAGATAATGGGGAAACAGACAAGAATTTGCTATATCCTGCTATTATGTATGGTGCATGATTTTGAATTTTGATTCGTCATTACAGAAGTGTTTTAAAATGCCTTGTCTTTTCTTTCTAGAACGTAATATTCATCATAATATGTCCTCTTTCAATGAATCAGTTGGACTAGGTTATTTGAAGACTCATGCCATTGAGTTTGTGAAGTATCCTTTCATCTCCTTATACTACTTCTCTACTAATGCTACAAATAAACAAGAAGTATACCTTTCTAGATTTGCAGTGTTCCACGTCTATAAAGGGAAAAGGCAAAGTAGCTCATAGGATGAGAAATAGTAAGATTAATGTAAGAAATATTGAAGATACCAGGATATGACTATACATTTCTGTCATGGTTTAACCCTAGCCAGCAACTATGATGTTTTTATTTAATTTTCCTTGATGAATTATACAGTTATAATAAACGACAAATGAGTCGGATATACCCAAAGGGAGGCCGAGTGGATTCCAGTAATTACATGCCTCAAATTTTCTGGAACGCTGGCTGCCAGATGGTCTCACTGAACTATCAGACCCCAGGTAGGCAGCAACGACCAGTGAACCTCAATACTAAAGAATGGCTTGGGCAGTAACTCTCAAACAGATGCCGTGGATTTGCTTCTGGCATTTTTTGAGGAAACGGACATATGGCTAAATAATACGGTGGGATGGAGTTACGGAAGCGTAAGAAAAGGAGCAATAACAAAGCCATACATAGAAGGAAAATTCAGTCCCCTTTCATGGAAAAATAAGAGAGTACTGTAACTTCTCACATAATCATAATGTTTTATTAATAAAAAGTATTAATTACAGGGAAATCATTGTTTTCACAAAACACAGCTTTGGCACAGTTGGGTGCATATCTCCAAAGTAAAGATGGAGTGTACAAGTTAAGATGGTAAAAAGTAATGACTGTGCCAAATGCATTTCTAGACCAGTTATTGTGAAGTCGTGTTAAGCATCAGAGGGTAGGGTCTGAGATCCCAGCTGAGAGAGTGATGCCAGGGAATGTAAATGCCTCTCCACAGCATAAACTGAGAGGAGGTGTATTGTTCCTGTTCAATGAAGGTGTGAGTATAACTAACAGGGTAGGGTTTTTTGTTGTTTTGTGGGTTTGTTTTTCTTTTTTTAAATTGATCTGGGAATGTCTTCAGTCATATATGTAACAGAGCAGTTTTTCAGTTTTCTTTTTCTAGCTGTGATAGTGCTTTTGTGCCTTCCTCCCGCCCCCCTCCCCGAACGGTGTCTTTGGTACGCAGACACTCCTAATGATCATACCCTGAGTTCTGTCCTGCAAAGCTTGATTTCACTAGCTGTGGAGGCAAGAGAAAGCTGTACTGGGATACACTGCTTGTAAAAAACACTCCACTGGACATGATTTGGAGGTTGGAGCAGATATGCAAGCTTCACTCTTCTCCCAACACTGCCTCTGCCCACTGCATGTCATTCTCAACCCCTTTATACTGCAAAATAAGACTGTTAATTGTATAATTGGAAGTGACCAACTTTCCTGTATTAGTCTTCTATGATCCGACTGTGCTGACAGGCTAAAGAATAATTGAGGAAATACAAGTTAAGGCTGTCCAGGAAAGTGAATAATAACTGCTGTGAGCGTATAAGAATCTTGTATTTTGTGTAATGGAGAATATATAGAAAAGAATTTGTCCCTTTTGAAGGCAGTGTCTGTTGGGCAAGAGAATTACTTGTGTTATTGCTGAACAAGGATATTGTATTCTAGTGTAATTGGAAACCTGAAGGAAAACATTACATTTTTTGTAAAGTTTGGGGGAGGGTTGGAGGGGAAGGCAGTTATGTGTTTGCTATATGTCTTTATCTACAAGTGCCATAATAATGCATTGAATAAAATTCAGATGCTTTACATGTTGAAACTAAACAATGCTACTCTGATCTCTGCAATTTCTTTTTGTGGTATTTTGTTCAATTGAGTCCATAGAAAACCAGTGTGATATTCATTTCACCTTCTTAAAGACATTAGGATATAGACAGCTTCATCAGAGGTAGTTGTCTGTGGTCATTGCAGAGAAATACACACTTCTAGGATGTCTCATCTAGTATATTTCATATCGCTGCCTTAGAATGAGATTATTGCACTCTTAAAAGTGCCTGTATCCCTCCATTATTCAAAATTATTCTAGATCGCTAGGAGGAGTGGAGACATCTGTACTGTAGATACTGAAAGTTAGATGATGGAAATCCCATCCCAGGCACTTAACATGACCGCAGTCTGATGCTTCTCTGCCTACTGGGTGTGTTTGAATTCAGGGAGAGACTGTTTTCTAAGCACAGCGTAGACTTCAGCTGGTTGATAAAGCTGCTACTACTGTGAAGAAATCTGAAGTTTTGCTTCTGTTGCTTCCTTTTATTTCTTAGACATGTGTGGTTTATATGCATTAAATTTAATTTTCATTTAAACTGATTATTCTGGACAAACAGTCTTATTTTCTTTTCTAAAAAGGATTGTTCATGATCTGCTTTACTCAGAAGGAAAGAGAGTAATTTTTTTCTGTTGACAGATTTAGCAATGCAGTTGAATCAAGGAAAATTTGAATATAATGGATCATGTGGGTGAGTGATATGATTTAAACTGTTGTCACTGTGTATCAGAATCCTTTACTATGGTTTTAATAAAATTTTGTCACTATTACGTGTTACAAAAGAAAAATGGGATGCTAGGGGAAGAGTAGAAATTAGCAGAATTCAGGGAGAATTATCTCCTGCAAGGAGGTATTCTGATGAATATGCGTTTTAATTATGCCCAGTTTTTAAACATGAGATAGAAGAGGCTTTGTGTGCAAATTATGACGAAGATCATGAATACCATACACAGTTATTTAAATACATCTTCAGCTTCTGTTTTCAATCATTCTTTGAAGATATGCTGCAGAATGGAGATTCATTGCACAGTTCACAGAATTGCCAAATTTAGTTGGACAGGTTGAGTCTTAATATACAGGGAACATTTTTTTAATCTGTGTACTTTAGTTGGAGAACAGATTTCACAGAGAATACTGAAGTGTTTCATCTCTCTAAGTTATTGTTCATGACTTTTGCATGCAAAAGGATGCTCAAGTGATGTTGACATATTTTTCTCAAATGTTGAGTTTATACCTTAATAGGATAAGGCTCATCATTAACATTGAGAGAAAGGAGAAGTTTAATGGATTATAGGAAATGACAGTCCAGAAACACGTTAAAATCTGCAAACTCATCCTGGGAAGAAACAACTCTTACTAATGCAAATCTTATTCAGAAAGAAAATCTGAGTAGATGAAGCTTGGTAAAATTCTTCATCTGCAGAATGGGCAACATAGTACTTTGCCACTCCATGCCTTTATTTCAGTTGTGAACTCTTCAGATAGAGGCTGTTGGCTTTGACGAAGATGCAGTCTTTGGTCATTTCAGTCACAATAGCAAAAACAGAAGAAAAAAAAAATTACATTTCTTTCTGTCTGTACTCTTTTTTTTCCTCTGATTTACAGTTTTCATGCTGGTGAAACAAAATCAAGTCACTCTAGTTTCAGCATTTTTTATTTCAGCAGACTGGAAACAGAGGCTAAGGATGCTTCTGATAGTTCCCTTCTGCCCATAACCTACTTTAAATTCATAAATTATTACAAAATCACACCCATTCATAATGTAAGAAAAATTAGGAATATTACTTACCTAAAGAGAAGCCATTTTATAAAAAATGGGAGAAAACATTGACATTCTTTCCATTGGAATTTTTCCAGCATTTTTTAATTATTTCTGAATTCTGTCTAGGCCTTTATAACATTGTGTACTAGTGATTCACTAGAGGGACTGAGGGTGGATAAAAATAATCTTCTAGCAGCTGTTGTCTGTCAGGACTGCAGAATTAGCAACATGACTCCAGTTACACGTTTTCTTCCACCAGTGGAAGAGAACCCCTGTCATGTGTAGCACAGCATTTCTGTGATCAACTGCTATTTCATTTTGATGGCAGAATCCTTGGGTTTTGATTCATCAGAGCACGTATTGGCTTCATTGATATGTTGATCCAGTGTATAGTCCTCAGGGATGTATTGTAAGTGTTATTATGGTAGTACCTTTCGTGCTACTATAATTAACAATCTGTCAGCACTGACGTTATCAGCTGTTTCCCCCAAGGTTTGATATCGGAGATGAAAAAATTAGCTTCAAGCTGAAATTTATTGTGTGAGTCTTGAATTTATAGAACTGCTTCATTTAAGAAAATAAAATTGAATAAGCCCTCTGTATTTTTCCAAAGTCTCAAAGAATTAAACCAGATGAGAGCATCTACTTCTTATCATATGATAACTCACTGTATTTTTAAAATGTATTATTAAAATATTTTGAAATGTCCTTGATTACATTACATTTATTTTCATTTTGAAATCCAGGGTTGATTTCATCTCTCAGTAGCTGGTAATTCAAAATTAGGATTAACATTTATCTGTATTCTAGACAACCGTAATATTTCTTTTTACTTCCTTACACTTGCAGCTAGAATGATAGTCTGTATTTTACAGTGCTGTAGGAGAGTTTATTGTTTAAAGCTAGAACATCCATTTTATTTGTATTTAATACAATTTTAATTTCCACACAAGAATAATTTTCTTCTTCTTTTTCTTTTGAAATAAGGTATCTACTTAAACCAGATTTCATGCGACGACCAGATCGAACATTTGACCCTTTCTCTGAAACTCCTGTAGATGGTGTAATTGCTGCAACATGTTCTGTACAGGTAAAACAGCAATAGACAAACTTCTGTCGTCTTATCGCATCCAAAATCACATTTAAATGTCAACAGAAATAGGATATCTACAGAAAATGTGTTTGGATTGTGTGGATTTCATCAAATTGTTTCCATCTTTTTTTTTTTTAATGCTGCCTAAGACTTCTGTGTTTACTTGATCTGAGTGGAACATGGTAGAATTAGAGTGGTTTGTTATTACACATTATCCCTAAATTTTAAACCCCCTCATGCTCTTTTTGAATTACATCAGCCCACACAAATGAATAAATAAGTGAAGTTCAGTTCTGTGGACAGCGTGAAATTACACAAACATCACTTGTCACCATAGAACAAGGAGGAATATGGGCACACAGGGACAGGATATTTTCAAAGTAAGTAGAGAAAAATGGTTCACGTGATGGAGGTCCTTACTTTGGAGTTATCTATGAGTAACAAAGTCCATAAAACTTCTGCTGTAGTTCTAAAGCCTGGTTAGGTATCACGTTTTGGAAGGAGGCTGACAATTGTAAAACTTGTTTTATGACTTGACACACTACTCTTTTTGTTCAAATACCCTAACACAAGACTTAAGCTTGCAGTTATCACCTTCTATGTGCAGCATGGAAATTTCAAACTCTCTCCAACCAAGGGTTCATTGTGCATTCTAGATACTTAACTAAGTTTCAAAACAAAAACTTTTTATTAATGTTGTGTTTCTTTAATGTTAATGACAGTACAATCCCTCCAAGAAGGAAGTGGGATCTGGTGGTGAGAACATAAGTTCCAAGTATCACTGGAGATAGTTCTTAGATCACGTATTTTGCTGCTTGCTCTTCTTGTGTGACTAAAACTAGTATAAAATTCTGTATAAGTTCTGTTATGAAGGAGTTGAGTGGACCGAAGCCAGTGATGGTAGCCCTCAGCCACATAACTTTTCAGATTTGTTATCCAGAGTGTTCCCTGGAAGAATGTTAGATCATGAGAAGAAACGGACTCGAAATGAGCTTACGTCTGTGAAATCGTGTTTCAGTTTTTTTCTTCCCTCCTTGATCATAGTAATGAAAACTTTAGCTGTATTTTTAAGTAGTAGATCATCTTGATGGAATAAAAATTTTCCCTGGAGTAATCACCTGCTGTGGCTAGATTAATCTTGACTTGGAGTAAAATTACAACAAACCTTTCATATACATAACGATATAGAGGAGTCGTGTGGGTTTTTTGTTCGTTTGCTTTTTAAGCATCCTACACTTCCCAGACACATAATATGGAGTTAGACTGACATGCGATTAGTTTATAACCCTTACCGAAGTGAAAGCAGAGCAATAGTTTCCTTTCATCTCTTTGTAGTCATGACATATAATAGATGACATATAACAGATGACATATAATAGTGCTTCCGAACAGAAAGTTTAAAGTTGCGGAATAGTAGTGCCCAATCTGGTTGTTTTCATTCAGTGTTTTTCAGTAATACAGTGAACGCATCTGTGAGACATCGGCTAATTGGATTGACTGACTTACAACTGTTAATATCATAGCACGATGAGTACAATCATTTCAAATTAAGGATATATTTAAGCTCTTATCACAAAAGCTTTTCTAAAGAAGTGCAATTTTAGCACTAAATATACCATTTTCATACGATGGAATAAATATATCTGTTCTGTATAAAGCATTTTTCACACTGCTGTCAATAAAAAAACCCCAATATTTCCAGTATTCATAAAATGCTGTGTACTTTGTATTGCTTTTCCTTACTGCTCTGTTATTATGTTCCAGGTAATATCTGGTCAGTTCTTATCAGACAAAAAAATTGGTACGTATGTAGAAGTGGATATGTATGGTTTACCCACCGATACGATACGTAAAGAATTTCGAACACGCATGGTGATGAACAATGGTCTGAACCCTGTTTACAATGAAGAATCATTTGTATTTCGAAAGGTAGGATATTTGGAAAGCACAGTTTGTGGTTGCCAGCCCTCTTGCACATGAGCATCCTGCTCACTTGAGCCACCCCTCCCTGCTTCAGTCTGACTGCTCACATGAATAAGTACTGCTCCCATGAAAAAGGGTTTGTAGGGTTCCTGTTTACTACAGTAAACAATCTAAAGCTGAAATAAGCTTTCAAGACGTTGGTTTTTTCTTTTTTTTTTAATTTTGCTTTGTTTTATTTTTCTAATGGATAACCTCTGTAGCTGTCACATGATTTTTTTATTTGTTTGTTTGTTTCTGTTTGGCTTTTCCCTCCCCTTTGCTTCCTCCTCCCACTTGGAGGTAGCTACCTCCTCCGTGGCCATGCCTGTGTTCAAGGTATGCAGTCTGCTCAGAATGAGCCCCCGCTGATGGACACCATCATTCCTTGGAGATTTCTTCTTCCCTGCCCTGGCAGTGGCTGCTATCTTGCACTGTTCCTTCAGCCCAGAGGGCAGGTGAGATGCTGCATCCAAAGCTAAGGTCAATGTTATTACATGGAAAAGTTGGAAGGGTGCTGTGTTCCTCAGACGTGTTGCCAGCTCCCTCCTTCAGTAGTCCATGTGCATCATGTACCTTTTTTCTTTTTTTTTCCCCTCCCTTCAATAACAAAAGAAAAACAAACCTTTTTTTCTTGGTATGGGGGATTTAAAGAGAGACCAGTCGTCCGTGTTCAGTTTTTATCTCCCAGTCTTTATATATATGATACACATATATATATTTTTATTTTTATTTTTTTTCTGTCGGCTGGAGTTTCATCCAGACTACATGTGTTAGCAGTGCCGTCCTTGATAATGTCTGTTTTGTTGTCATGCAGAATTGTTGCTCTTTTATTCCAAAGTGACAGACTTTGCCGAGTGGTGATAACACTTCACACTTGGGTATATTACACACATAATCTGCTTTCTTAACAGTATAACCAGTTTTTAATAGAAATGTGGTTAATGCAAGAGGTTTTTCTGGACTCAGATACATTCTGGAATGAATGTGATTTCAAGTGCTTTTCTCTGTATATGAGGAGGCACAGGGAAGATGCTTAGGTACAATGACAGGCAATCATGCTGCCCATGGCTTGCTGGCCATATGGCCAGCATCTGCTGCTTTCTGATTTCTTAAATCAAAAGGCCCATAAACTACAGGGTGCACACAGCTTCAGTCTAAAAGGGTACTTGTGTATCGTGGCATGGGTACAGTGGCTGGTGCCAATATTCCTCGGACTTTCTGCTCTACTCAGCAATGAACAATTACATGGTTGCACATTCTCTTGATAACTCGTACTGTAAGTCAGCCAAGAGATTATTTTTCTTCATCTCAGGCCCTTATCATATCAGTCTTAGCATTGTAATCAAGACATACATTGATGACCAAGCAGATGAGTGGCATAAACACAGCAGGAACAATTCCTCTGGTTGGAGGAAATGAAGGTGTGGGGTGCACAGTGCTAAAATGTCATGAAGGTGGAAGTGTCTACCATGATACCATAGAACAAATGAATGGAGAGGGGAGGGAACGATAAACTTCTTAGTCCCCAGTTCTGCTCCCTAGCAAATCTATATGTGAGCCCATCATGTAATGAAAGATGTGCTGATGTGTGGCCTGTAGAGGAGAGATTTTTACCTGCCCTATTTGGGTTACGGTGTTCTCCTCAAGCTGATGTTTAATCCTACACAGTTGCTCTCAGGTAGTGTGTTTGTTCTTCTGTCATGTTTTCTTGTTTTTATTTTAATTAAAATAAAGCTTCAGTCATTCTAACCCAAGTTATGTGTTGTCACTCTGTTGTGTAATGGGGAGGACGGGGTGAGTGCTGGTGGTAACCTATGCTGGGAGTGCTACGTTACAATCAAGTAGAGCAGCATATCCGTGAATAGCTCAGGTGGGTTCAGAGACCAAAAGCATACTTTATTTTGTGCCCTCTATGACTGAAAATGGAAGTGGCAGGGGGAAAGTCTAAGGGAGATGGTAGATGCAGTTTTACGTAGGTCTTTCCTTTTGTCCTGTAAGCACTGATGAATAGAGCCAGGTAGAGAAGGAGTGGGAAGCCCTTTCTGAGCTGGCAGAGAGGCTGCACCTCTTGGTTAGGCTGCCTGTTCCTCACTGCTTCGTGCACAGAGGCAGCACCTTTGTTCCAGGGAAGGCACGGGATTTTTTTATTACTGTTTTCGTCAGTCCAGATGGGGGCTGACAGATGCAGATAGCTGGCACCATCCCTGCCTACCATGCATACCTTGTACCCCTCATGTCATGAGTACAGCACATCCACTTCTGCTGGCAGCATGCCATTTCAGCAGGTCTGTCACCCTGTCCTGCCCTCCCCTGTCTGCTTCTCCCCTTTGCAGAACCCATAGTTTAGCATACATCCCCATCAGCTTGTGCTTGCGCTCTTTCTGTTCTTCACTGCCCTTTTGGATACATCCCAAATCCCATCTTTCTGTCATAGTTCCTCCTGATTCAGCACTATCTACCCTTCGATTGCCACTGTATCTGTCATTTCCCAGGCAGTATTTATCTGCCTTCTTACCAATGTCACCAGTCTTCAGTAATGAAAAATAAGTATGCAAAATATTTAGCTAGTGTAACTGTAAGCTGCAGGATTTGCATATTCTGAAATCTACCCATTATTTAGGGTGAAAAAAAGCTTTTCTAGGAAAGATTTAGCTCAAAGTGTGCAGTTTGCAGGGAATTACATTATCTTACAGTGATGATAGTCTATTTCTGGCATACAAAGTGAATGGTTCAAACATGGGAGGTGGGGAGGGTGCTACTGTATTAGAGTCATTGAATTTCTTCATTTTATGGCTTTCCAGGTTATTCTCCCTGATCTTGCTGTCCTGAGAATAGCAGTGTATGATGACAATAATAAGTTGATTGGTCAGAGGATCCTGCCTCTGGATGGTCTGCAAGCAGGTTACAGACACATTTCCCTTCGGAATGAGGGCAACAAACCACTCTCTCTTCCAACGGTTTTCTGCAACATTGTGCTTAAAACATATGTGCCTGACGGTTTTGGAGGTGAGATGAACCTGTATCTCAGTGTGCTGTAGATCTTGAGTGTTGGTGTGGAAGTGCTGAAGTACTGCGCTGTCAGTATGCCAGCCGGAAGCAGACACGCAATGCTGGAGGATTGGAAAGATTTAGTGTTTTAACTCCTTGGAAACCCTGTGTATTCAGTTAAGAAATCAGTTTTCAGACAAAGTGCCTGCCTCAGTGTTAATGATAATGACATGTATCTGTTAAATGACAAAATAATATGGAAAATAAGTTAATACTAGGGTTGGCTCAATTTGATTTTCTCTGTTGACATTTTAGGAAGATTCTTCTTTTGATTTTTTTTTTTAATTACAGTTTTTCTGACATAAATATTTGTAAAGTTATCATGTATTTTAGCTATATTGTTTGGCCTATACGTATGAACAATTGATGCAGAATCTAGACATGTGTTTTTTCGAACAAAATTACTTTTGTATTCTTGAGTGTATAGGCATATTGTTAAAAATGTGAAAGAATTTAGCATCCAAAACCTTTCTGCATTTTTCTCTCCCAATTTTACATAGTTTTGGTGTGTTTTAATTAGTTTTGGGTTTTCAGGGAATTTGTTTTTAATGTGAGCCATTTCCATGATCAGGTTGGCAAGGCCATGGTCATTTATATGAGTGGTGGCAAATTGCAACATGTGGATAAGAACAAACATCTGAGAATAATCATTACACCACTTAAATCAGTGTAATGTGTAAGTTCACCCTAGGGGTATACCTCTGGGAAATGTTTTCTTCACTGCAGACGAAATTCGCTTGTACATTAGACAATATGTAAACCATTTAAAATTGTAAAATAAGAAATTGCGCTAAATGTTTTGCTCTTTGCAAAGAGACCTGCTGTCTATGCAAAGAATTACTGCCACTTCTCTGAGTGTCATTTCCATAGTACAAACTGGAGAAAGGGAAGGCTTACCTAACATATTAGATAATGTATCTTGAAGTCTATGTTTGCTGGTATTTATCCAGGCTTTAAAAAAATGAACAGGCGGAGACTTCAGTAACAATATTTCATGGGAAAAGTTAAGCATTTACAGAAGAGATTGTGGTGGTCATATGTGAAATCCTGGTTGCTGGCAAGTCAGCTGGAGTTTTGCCACAGGTCTTGGAGCACTACCATGCCTTTATGCAGCAATGTTTCATCTACAGTATTTAACTTCAGGGACTTTATCTCAAGACAAACGTGAGCTTCTGCTTAAGCTTGAGATTCTTGAGGCAGTAATTGAACCATGGATCTAAGGGACACATTTAAGCATGTGCTTTAATTCTTTCCTGAATTTTTAAGCTTTTGACGGTAAATGACTTAGTTTAAAAGTTTTCTCAACTAGGGACATGCTTCTGATTTGGGATTGATGTTTTTCTGAATGATACCACACTTTTTCTAAGAGTAGAATTTAAACTTTGCTAAGTTTGATGTGGCTCAAGCTGCTGAGTGTGCTGGTCACATAGGGAGAAAATATTTTTTGTTTTTTAAACAGCATTATACAAATTCAGAAGTGAAAGACTTGTTTTTCAAAGAGAATTTGAACACCAGTTTAAAATTTGCAAATTGTGTGCACTTCAGTACTGGTTGATCTACTGCATTGTCAGCATTTCTGCAGATGGTTTATCTGGTGGAGGTGAGGACATAGAAAAACATTGCTACCCCTAAGTAACAGTATCATTGCAGTAAAATGCTACTAGATTGTGAGAACTGGTTGTCATAGCTTACTGTCAGTGTTGGGAGAAACAGACTCCATATTAACATGAACTAAATGAGTTCCACTATTAGTTCTTCTCTCCCTTCCCAGATAGTTTTCATGATCAGAGGGCTGAAGCTCCTATGAAGACAGGCTGAGAGAGTTGGGGTTGTTCAGCCTGGAGAAGAGAAGGCTCCGGGGAGACCTTCTAGCAGCCTTCCAGTACCTGAAGCAGGCCTACAAGAAAGCTGGAGAAGGACTTTTTACAAGGGCATGTAAACCCCATGGCAGGGGGGTTGGAACTAGAGGATCTTTAAGGTCCCTTCCAACCCAAACCATTCTATGATTCTGTGATATCTCTCATGTATTTTTCTCATCGATACAGAATGACAGCATGATGAACAACTGGGAAATAACTTTTGACACTCGGGTGGAATCATTAGTATTCTGTTGGCATGTGTTTTTTAGTTACTTGTCATCTGCAGTGAACCTCTCATTGTTTTATGAGCTATCATTAGGATCTTCATGGTGGTTTTAGCAAACCTGTAGGAAGGTATAGCTCAATTCAATAGCTGCCTACTTTCTTTTTCATTTCTTTTTTTTTTAACCTGTATGAGTAAGATTTAAAAACTTGCACTGAATAATAACTAGAATGGGTAATGCATTGTAGGCTTTAAAAGATGCATAATTTTATTTTTCATATAAGTTAGTAATTTCTTGTGGTTTATTTGCATCAGCTACTCTGTTCCCAATAAAACACAATACTGGCACAAGTGAATGCAAATGAAGTAGCATTCTCCAAAGAGAAGCTTCTATAATAGAAGTCTGTATGTAAGTAAGCATGGCTACTTAGGTTAGTGGTTAGAGTCCTCTGTAATGTACTCTTACAGTGATTTTCCTAGTTTTACATTTAATTGTGATTCTTCTACAAAATGCTATTCCCCACCCCCACCTTACCTCACTGGGGAGAAAGAAAAACGTAAGCAGAGGACAAATGACAATGTGAAAAGCAGTGATGAGTCACATTCCCCTTGTAGAAATGCTGAGCCTTTGGTGAGGTGCTTGTATGGTTAGTAATACAATTTACAAAGGTCTCGCTTTCCCAAACATGTTAGTCATTTTTACCTTGAAGCTCGTGATAACCAGGTTCCATTTTCAAATGACGCATCATGTTAGCAGGGTAGTCCTGGATTTTCATTGAAGAGTGCATGCCAAGGACAAAAAGTCATGCTTATTAAGTTAGGGAAAGGGGAAACAGTCAGTGCAGGGCTACAAGGCCATTGTTATGGCTGAAAATAAATTCTACGTGGTTTTCGTGTATATGAAGTAAGTTTCAGAAGACATCGTTGGGTCACAACAGTTAATGGAGACAAACTATTTGTGTAGTTAAACAGAGCTGTCAAGGGTATTTAATATGTATTTAATACAACTTTTGTTGGAATGGGAGCCCTGTGTGTGCTTTTTTTGCTTGAGAAATGCATCTGGTGACTTCAGAGGAACATTTCACAGAACAACTTAGGTTGGAAGGGAGATGATGTAGTCTAGCCCCTAGTTTGCACAAGAGGGATAGCAAGTTTCTTCCCAAAGCTTTTGATGGGTTGGATATTTTTACAGACCTGGTCAGTGGACCAACTTCTCTGTCTTGCATCATTGTAAGCTAACTTGGAAAACGGCTGAAGAGATGACGTGAAATGTGGACAAAATTCAAATGATGATGAAAGCCATGAGTGTCAGAACTGTCATTGCAGAAATAATAGCCTATTATGCTAGTGAGACCATCTAGAATGTAAGGGTACAAAAGCATTTATCTTTTACTCACAAGCAGCCAAAAATAGGGCTTTGCAGCATTCTGCAAAGAAACAGCTTCCTTGCAAGTGAAGCGCTGTCCATGGTCCTCCTAACGGTGGTGACAAAAAACCTGAGTTAATTAAATGACAATATTTTGTAGTGAATGATGAATCAGTCGGGCTGCAGCGTTCAAACTTCCTTTCTTAAGTTACTGCTCTGACAAGGAAGGCTTATTAACTGAGACCAGTGACCCTTTTCTCCGTAATACTGAAGGTAAAGTTTCAGAGGGATCATCAAAACAGATCACTGCTGTGGTCTCTGAATGCATTATTATTGTAGGTGCTGAATCAGTTTAGTTTGTAAAATCATTTCTTGCAATGGAGGGCCTCCTTTGCCATTTGTGAATTCTTTACCTGTTGAAATTAAGCATGAAAAGGGATTATTCAATATGCAGGTAAAGATTCATGTGTCTTTGTCTTCATGTAAACCTATGCTTGCACATTTATCACTGCATATGGAAGACAGATTCAATAATCCATACGGTGTCCGGTGCTGGGTAATGCTATCATACCACTAGTTGTAGTGTGTCCTGTGCAAGATTCAAACACTGGTCATTATGGTTCATAGAAAAGCCATTTCACAGCCTGTCATGTTCCAGACATGGAGCATCACAGGGGCGAGTGAGAACAGATTTCCCTGATTGCTTTAAGCACCCATCTGAAACTGCTATTTAGCTAGGAAATATAACAGCATTTTCTACAATTCCTGCAGTCCCAAGTCAGTCAGCACCCCCTTGAATAACCAAGGAACAAAGTTGTTAGTGCTTTGTGGCTCAGGAGATCCCATTCTGGTCTCAAATTCTAGTGTCATCAACTGGGAGTAAGTTAGGGTAATTTCAGTCTGATGGAGTCAGTGTGTTTTTCCTAAATAAGGTACCTGATTAATACCACTCCCTTGGTGCATTATAAACAGATTCATGTTCCTAGTGTGTTCAAGCTCTGTGGTGTGATGATTTTCAGTCCTGCCAAGTTCACTATGGAAAGTTGGACTATTGTTGCAAGCCATGGCTCATTAACAACAGGGGTAGAATATGTAAAAGATTAATTTCCAAATGCCTCTGAAATCATAAAAAGCTGATTTTTTTTTTTCTTGCAGATATTGTGGATGCTTTATCAGATCCAAAGAAATTTTTGTCTATCACAGAAAAAAGAGCAGACCAAATGAGAGCTATGGGTATCGAAACTGTAAGTAGAACTTAATGACAAACACAGCCCATTTATGTTCATGCTGTGTTCTTTTTTAAAAATAAACCAGTCCTTCTCCAATTGATGCAAGGTACCCTATCATTTCTCATTTTCAAATATAAGCCTCTTTGTCCTCCTCTGAAATATGTTGGCTTATGTTAGTTAACGTGTACTTAAATATCATTCACTAACTGACTTTTCACGCATACTAGCCCATCCCTTAGAAGTAGAAATTTTAAGAAATGAGAAAGGAGCCATGTTTTAGTAGGTAGCCATTTAAAATAGGTTACAAATACTTTACTGAGTATAGTGTTGTTTGAAAGTATGTTGCAATTTTCTTAATTATGTTTAAAATAAGCAAGTTCAGAAATTCCCATACCCCAACTTTTATACTACAGATAAAACAACAATTAGTTTATTATGATGTGAATGTTTCTTTCAGAGTGATATAGCCGATGTACCAAATGACACTTCAAAGAATGATAGAAAAGGAAAAGCCAATAATGCCAAAGCCAACGTAACGCCTCAGAGTAGCTCTGAACTTCGACCAAGTACTACCGCAGGCTTTGGATCTGGGACTGACGCTAAGAAAGGTAGACAAAAATCACGTGCCACTCCCTCAGTTCTGAAGTGATTCAGAAAGTCACAGAGTAGTACTCATTACTCAATTTTTGTTTTGCAGTTCTATTCATTCTTAGCCTTTTAGGAGTAACTTCTTTTGCCATTGAGTGTGGTCTTTGTCTAATTGCAAATAAATTTTATGTATTAGTAAAATGGCTGTATAAAGCCAATACAGCTTTATTTTACTAAGTGACCTCTTTGTGTAGCTGTATACCTACTGCCAATAGTAGTAACCTGCATGACTTTAAGAGTAGTTTACTAAAGATCTACTGGAGGAATGCCAATAGGAATTGCTATTTTCTGGTGTACTCCCCAGAAGCTCTTCTGCTTTTTTTTCTCCCTCCACAAATCCCTTGGCAGAGTTGCAGATTTAAGTAATTAAAGGTATTTAGAATTCATTGGATTCTGTAGAGATTTCCCAACAATTAGAAATGTTTTCAATGTGTGGTTTTACTCTGAATAGTGATTATGGAAATGGCATGTTTATTGTAAAAAAAAATCCATATTAAATGTGCTCATTTATAAGTGAACAAGTACTTTTTCCTCGCTATTCACCGTTCACTCTACAAAATCATAGAGTCAAATGGGATTATTTTTCTCACATATCATCACAGGTAATGAAGATTAAGTGAGAAAACAAATTTGTACAGCTGCATGAAACACAATAAATATTTCTGTTAATGGGCCACAAGAATTAGAATCTGGTTCACTCTCTTTCATCTACCTTGGCCCAAAGGGATTGATAGGAGTGAAAAGGCGCACTGACTGCTCTTGTTCTTAAACTTAAGCAGACATGGCTGAATACATACATGTGAAGGGATCTCTTGAGAAACAAGATGCCATTTCTCTGGAGTCACTTCTGGCAATAAAACAGGTCGTCTCTGGCACCTGAACTCTTTCAAAGTTCTTCCCTGGTGTAAAACCCAGGTTATTTTATGCAGTGAGGTGTTTTCATATCTCTCGTATCATCATCAAGGTGCACAAGTATTAGTTTTATTGTGCATTAATTAAGCATGAAATTTGCTAGCATTAGTAACTAATTCCTGGTTGCCATGGAGTCAGACCTGGTGAACAAAGTAAATGAGTCTGCGTTTCAAAATAAAATCCTGAGGAAGTTTGTTTAGCACACACCATGCCTCATGCAGCCCTGGTCTTAAACTGAGATTTCAGTACTTACACATTCTTGTCTGCAACCATTTTTGTTGATATTCTCGCATGTTAAAATAGAGCTGTTCATTTTTATATCCCATGTAATGATCCTTATTTTGTATTACTTATCTCTCTGATGTGTTAGATCTGAATAATTCTACCATTGTTACAATATACAACTCACCTTGCTATTAGAAATTATGTATCCAGCAAGATAGCGTGTTTGGGGAAGGCTTTCAAATGCACAAGAATGTTGGGGTTTTTTATTCTCTGACTTTCAGTAATAGTTAAGTGATTTGTGTTTTTGAAAACTTCATCCTCTCTCTGTGCATAAATCTGTTCCAGTCTCATTTATTAGACTAATGTTAATACCATATAGTTGAGCAGAATCTTATGCTTCTAAGAAAGTAAAAAATTTATGTTCCCTAAGGAGATTGCCTGCCTTCCCTCCTCTTTTTTTTTTTTTTCTTTTACAGCATCTGAATATTTTCCAGTTAAATTCACCTTAAAAGGCAGAAAGTCCTTTTCAAGGAAGGGGGAATCTTATCATCCACAGACACTATTAAGAGCAGTTAACTAAATACATTTGCAGTGTATTTATGTACAGTGGAACACTTTTGTGTAAAAACTCAGAAAAAACCTACATATTACAACTCTCATGGCATTGTATTGACGTTTTTATTAATGATTACATGTAGGATGTGCTTAGTAGTTTAAAAAAAAACCATAATATGTCAGAAAACATTTATTAAAGCATAAACACGAAATGAGATTGTTTTTTGTTTGCATTGCAGTTAAGATGATCAAAATATATTTTCATTCATCTAAATAGTACTGTTAGTCTTGTATGATAGATTTGCTTGTTGTATTGAATTTTCATTAGAATTTTCACTTATGATTTTGTTTCTCCTCCATTTTTAACTCTCCTTTAGTCTTGGAGTGTACTGTTGCTCCTTTTCTCATAGGCTGGTATTAACGAAAATGCAAATTTTACCTCCATTAACATACAGGCTGCAGGTAAATTTTCACTCCTATGATTTTTGTGTTTTAAATTGAGGAGAAGTAGTATACCTAACCTCAGTTAACCTTTTACGTAGTCATGTAGAACCTTACCCAAGAAGCCTCCCCCCTGAAACGAGTGGGGCCAGAGCAATCTCCAGCTATGGACCAAAATTCTGAAGTTTGTGTGGTTCAGTTTTAATGTACGTAAATGGTTTGCTGTGTTTTCAGAAAAGGAGCTTTTTCAATTCTTAGATTGCTGTGTTTTGACACTTCAGTCCAGAAAGTAAGAGATTAAAATACACTCATTGATTCAGTTCTTTTTTCACAAGGCAATTGATTGAGCAGTGCATTTGAAAAGGAAATTAACTGTATCTTAGCTATATCTTGATAAATAATTTTTTCATTAACCTGTGATTATTTTTTATGTGGTGAAAAACATTAATTAATTGCTAACTTAAATGTAGGTTTCTGTGGTAAAACAAATTTAAAAGTATGAGAGATACTAGTATGTATGAAGTTTTAGATAAACTGTATCTATGCCTTCCTAGGTATAGACCTTATTCCTCAAGTGAAGATAGAAGATTTAAAACAAATGAAGGTAAGTATGGACACAAGCTTTTCAAGATGTGTTCCTAATTATTTGTTTTAAGTAGCCAGGATTTTATCTGGTTAAAGTCAATATGACCACAGAAAAATTGATCCAACTTCTCTTTTTGTAGGCTTATATAAAGCATTTAAAGAAACAGCAGAAAGAGCTGAATGCCTTAAAGAAGAAACATGCAAAGGTATGATCATTAAGAGTTCTCTAAGCAACACACACTAATTGAAAAAAGTTGCAGCGCTCACTAGCACAGACAGCTCTTAGGGAAAAACTAAGGAACAGTAGTTGGATCACAGGAAAGGCATATGTGTTTTAAATGTACTGAAATACGCTCCAGTGAGCAAATTTTCCTTTTAGCAACCCTTTGTATGTCTCCCTGAGTTTCAGTGCACATTTGTTTGACCCATATAAGCATCCAAAGCTCACCTTTTTCAGGTAATGATTTTATCTAGCTCCCTCTTGCATGACATATTGACAGGCAGCTTGGAAAAAAAAGGCAGTAATGATGTGAGAAGGGTGCTGCATCGAAGACAGGCATTGGAGAAACTGCAGAATCGCCAAAGAGAACTTAAATGTGTAGCTGAAGAATGAAATTCCATGTTCCTCCTCACTTACATCTATGTTAACGACTTTATAGTCAGCTTTTTGCTTGGTACTCTTGGCAGTGATGTCCCAAATACATACAACACTATCACAAATATACTTTACATTAGAAAATCACAGCCAATTTTGTCCTGCCTCTGTCATTAGAAAACCATTACTCTTGTTACAGAAAGAGGCATAACAAGTGAAGAAAGCATCTTAAGTTCTGAATTCTGGTAATACATACAAATCCGTTCTGGGCTTTTGGGGCAGTTATTCCCTTGCTCTCTTTGATTGCAGATTTCATTGCAGATCTGATGTAATGTCGTTGCCTAGGCATTTTTAATATCAGCCTTTGTGTTTATTTTCATACTGTTATTTGGGTGTGGGACTCTGTACAATGAAGTATGAAGAAATTACTTTCAATAATTGGCACTTTTGTGGGGCTGTTAGTATTAAAAGTAGTAAAAAAAAAAAAAATAGTTACATTTCAGACTCCTTACTGACTATGCAGAAGGGAAATGAGTGATTTCTCCATTTTAGTGTTGTGTGCAAAGCTCATGCTTAAGAAAAAGTGTCTGTCATCCACACTTCTGGGCATGGACAGTTTCTAGACCTTCATAGGGTTGATCTTCTAGGGGGCTTCTTATTTTTAAACCCTACTTTCTCATTCATTGGTCAACATCCAGCAGTTCGCTATAGCAGCTTTTTGCAAATGAAAATGGTACCATGATTACATAGAAGACAGCCATACTCAGTGAAATATGTGACTCCCTGAAATATATGACCACAGTAGTGTAAGAATATCTTATCCAAGACTGCGCTTGCTGATGTTAAAAAATTGATCCATCTGTTCAGGCTTGCACTTGCTTCCTCTAATGTGATGAAAAAATTGCCAGCCACAATCTGAAAATGCCGTGTGTTCAGAAGGGCTTTCAGCATTAGCTCAAGCACAGCTATTTTAGGTCTGAGCCAGCCTGTGTCCTGCTGGTCTTAAGTACAGAGCGCAAGTCTGTCCTAACAAGAAAGTGCCTGTCTAGAGCATGCCTTGCTAAAGGCTCCAGTAAGGGCAACTTCTTGAATTTGGAGAGGAGAGCCTGAAAAGTGTGGCCATATTAGCTCACAGATGATCTTGGGGGGAAGTGCTTGGTGTACTCATCACTGTTTTTAACGCATTTTATCAGCAGGGATGGAGCAGGAGAGCTATGCAGTTAGTTATCCATGATCAGCTTGAGGGAGCCTGTGTATTAAGCAGATTGAACTTAAAAGTTCCAGAAATAGATTGGCTCTCGTATAACCATAGACACTCCAGACATCTGGAGAAATAAGTAAACAGAAGGGAATTAGTTCATGTTGTTTAACGAAAGAAAAGTACGATACTTTTCCATCAAAATTTGGCCTTGGAAAATGCATTATGGAAAACGAATGCATGCAAGTGTGGAAAAGAGAGCAGGTTGAGAGGAAGGAGCTCTGATCTACGTGGTGTAGGAGCTAATCAGGTAGCCCTGGGCAGAGCTAGCTAAGGAAGATGACAGCAGTAAGGGTCCCTTTTACTGACAGCATCCACTCAGTGTAGAGAAGCACCACTGAAGTGTTGGCTGGTGGAGGTTAGTTGCTCTGTATGAAGACACATCAGTCTCTGTTTTCTCAGGGTATCGGGCTGTTAGAGACACCACATTTCCAGATTAATACAAAAATTAGCTGGTGCGAGTCTTTTCAGGATGCAACACACTGTCTGTATATTTCTTTGATGCTATCTTTCTTCTCGTTTACTTCTGTTCAGTGTTTCAGCCATTTTGACTCTAGTAGCACTATAAAATTCTCCTAACATCCCTCTGCATGTTATCACTAATTTGTTTTTCCTACGTGGCATAGCTCCTTACAACTGTAATACCCAGTACACACACACACACAGAGACACATCACATACTGTGACTTCACTTTATGATGGTGGTGTTATTAATCTGTTTTTTTAAGAGAAGGATGTTTGGGCAGGTGGAGGTACAATCTTCACTGTTCCTTTTTTCACTTTTGTGTAGAAAAAATAAGACGTCTTGTCTAAGTAGGATAGGGATCATTAGATTGGTGGGAAGACCACTGTTCTTGGTATCACCATTACTAGGCACCATTACTGTGACTGATAAAATTCAGTTTCCCCATTCCCTAATGTGAGAGTAGTGGCTTGCAAAAAAATGCAGAATTTTGGATTTCACAAAGTCTATGAAGAGTTAGAAGTTGAGATTTTACTCAGGACTGAGAATCATGTAAAAAGGTACATATATAAAGCTCTGCAAAGACAGGACAATGCTTTTAAAGAAATCCTGAAGGATTATAAGGGAATAATGGAGCACATAGAAATTAAAGGTGAGGCAAACTGTGGTGAATACTGGAGAGTGTCAGTATTTCACAGCAAGTTTCAGAGTCAGTGCGCAAGTATAGTTTCTCCACTTCAGAAGAACCCGTTCAGTTCTGCAACAGAGCTGTTGCCTCTAGTTTTTGTACTCAGTACTCTGCTTAGTTTGTGGCCTGGCTATGGAGGAAGAAAGGGTTGAAGGGGGGAGAGTGAATATTCTCCAGGCTGGTTTAGTCTCTGAAAAGGTAAGTCTGCATGAGTATGACTGAGGTAGCATTGTGCTGCTGTTGGGATTGCTGAAGAACAGATGATTGCTCTTGTGAGCAAAGAACATGATTCAAACCTCAGCCCATTTACTTGCATTGTGAACTAGTTTCACCTAACAGGGCATTCTGAATTTGGAATGAGAGAGGTCACAGTGAGAAAACTGTAGGTTCGCCAGATACGCAAAGAACGTAAGACATAATTCTTTAAAAAGGGGGGAAAAAGCTAAGGAGTAGGAAGCTAACACAGATTTCTTTGATGATACCATGAGAAATACAGTATTTTTAGGGGGGACCATGTTGCAAGGATTAAATCTTTGTCGTTAACTCCTAGGGCAAATTCTTTGTCGTCTGTTGGACAGTGAGCAATGCTGGTCCTATAGGCTGGGATAGGGAGAGGAAAAAATGAGTAAGTGTCCCTGTCAAGAAATGAGTGAGCTTTCTCAAGAATCCTCACATTCACAAAGGGGATTTGGAAAATGTTACTTGTAAAAAATGTTACTTGTAAAAAAACCGACTGTTAGCATTACCTTATTGCCTGAGATTACTGAGGGTGCCACAAGAATCAGTGGGATTTGAGAAGCTGGTACCAGAAAGGCCAGGCCCCTGGGATTCTGTCTGCGTGACAGATTTCATCATGGTCATGTTCTGTCACTTTAAAGTAGATTAGCAGCTGCTGCGAGGAGTTTGAAACTGTTGGCCCATGTATGGATTGTGTTCTTTTACATCATCTATAATACTGCCATTTTTTAAGGGACAGTAAGACAGTAGTGGCAACATCTTCAAAAGTACAGAAAGCAACAAAGATATTGTATCCTTCATGAGTCTGTTTAAAATGCAGGCATGTGAAATGCACCTTTTTGGCACCAGTAGACAGGACTGCCAACAAGCAAAACAGAGTACTTTTGTAGTGGCACTTATTTTGCAAGCTATCAGCCTCTGATGTTGTAGTATTCCTTGTGTTTGACTTTTGAAAAATAGTGGCAAATTAGTGTAATGATCACCATTTAAAAAAAATTCCACTTTAGGAATAACTTTCTCTTGAATCTTAGGTCTGGTAACCTGTGCTTTTGGTGATTTTAAAATAATATGTCCAGCCACTTCTGCATATTGCAAAAATGTTTTTCTTGCAACAATGCATTCATAAAAACACCTACACTGGGCAGCTTTTGAAATAAAGTATTTCCTGCCTACATTCCCTGAAGTAACTTTAATCTCCCAGTGTGAATATTACTGTGCAGCTGCAGAATGGCTGATGTGTCTGAATGGTGTCCATTGGCTTAATCTTTTTTTTATCAAGTTAGATCTCGAGTACTGCTTAGGTAAATGGTCTGGGGTGGCATCACAGGTAGGTGGGCTATAAAGGCAAGGAGATGTGCATACGTAAGAGTCTCAGTCACTGATTTCATCTGTTAGCAGCCTGCATCTGTGGACCCCTACTGAATTTTAGTATTTTGCAGGGATATCACGTAGTTTTTGTGCTGCTTGGGTTAGACAGAAGAGGAAGGATAATAAGGGATTATCTTGATATATTCTCTAACAGTCAACAGCACAACAGATGATTGCGGTATAGAGTTCTAGCGGTTTCAGACAAGACAGTGATAGTCACAGGTGCCACCCTTAAGGAATTTAATATGGCCATAGACAGGAACCAGAATCGCGTTATTACCACGCAAAAATATAAATCCCAGAATTCATCTCCTGCACATTTATATTGACATTGAATATATGTACTGTTTGAAATAAAGCCTAGTTAAAAAAAGAACATAAAAAAAAAATCTCCTTTTCACAATGTAAAAGCGGCAGTACAAAAGACTATGGAACTCTAGATTAATAAAGTTCTGCAAAGTAGATTGTTGGAAATGATAGTTTTTTTCTTTATTTTCTCATTTTTGTGTTCTGTAATGAGAATCCTCCAGACTTCAGTTTTCAGTTGTACACAGGAGTATTTGTGTTGCTTTAGGGAGGTACCGGGCAGGAATAACATTTTGTATCATATGAACTTACTTCCACCTTCTCTTCAATAGACTGAATTGCGATTCCCACCCCCCCGCCCCCAATGGAACTATATATGGTTCTTTACTTTTTTCCCACGGATAGTCTTCCTGTGATTTGAGTCTTTTTATATCAGTTAGGTGGCCTCTCAGAACCCTGGCTGAACCGTGGCTTCAGTTTGTAATACAATCATTAAATGTAATTCGTGAAAAAGGCGCGTGAATTCAAACTGCAAATTCAGTGGACTTGAGGAAATCATGAGACACCTAGCTGAGGAAACTTTTATCTGCAAACATATTCTGAGTCAATCTAGAACATATTACCACCTGAAACTTTGTTTACATCTGAAAACAAAATACACTGAGCGTGTTTTAAGATGCTAAAAAACCACTTGTATTTCTTAGAATCTTGACAGAAGTTTGGGACGCAGCATTTAACTGTGATCAACTTTCCTTTGAGCATAGACAGAAAATCAAACTCACATCAGCTAACCCATTTTAAATAGTGTTCCAGGGGTTGAAGGTCATATAATCAAGGGACCTCTGGTAGGGAGTTGACCCCTAGTACTATTTGTGCCTTGCATGTGCAGCTGTTAGTAGCTCATCTTCCTCTTCCAGCTCTGTTTATATTGTGCACAAACAAATGCGTGTTCCATGAACTGGATGGGGAGGAGGACCAGGGAAGGAAATGAGGGGGATATGGTGCACAATGTATCTGTTTCAGATACAAGATAGAGTTGTGTATGAGCTGTAAGTAGCCCTAGAGGGGAGTCTGCAAAAGATTACAGTTAGTTGGTGATAAAGAGAGAAGGCTTAAGTCATAGTTGTCCTGAGGGAAAAGCAGGGATTCTAGCCCTACGTGACGTGCCTTCACAGATCACGGAGGAGTGTTACGTGAGTGGGCAGATGTCTCATGCTTTGCAATATTTGCGCTTAGTCTTTTATAGCAAGAATTGTATTGTTCTGTTCATCTAGGGGAGAGTGGGTAGTTCGAGGGATGCTCTCAGTCATTTCACCTGTGGCTGGCGGGGGCTGTCAAGCTTATGTCATTCTTTTCACTGTCCATATTTTCTCCTACCTGGTTAGTCAGTGTAAATACTCCCTGGTGAAGCTGGCATGTTTTAATGCTGATGGAGTCTATTTGTTTCCCTTTAAATCCTCTGTAGAACAGAAAATTCAGTTCCCCACTCTAAATACAAAATTTGGAAGCTGTACGCGTTCGCCAGGGAATGCTTGGGTACAGCCCAGGGCTTGATTTTTAAAAGCGTCACAACGTTGGTTTTAATGTTTTGGTAAAAGTGAATGTAAAAGTATTTAATTAGTACTTTTAGAGGAAGAAACAGTGAAAAGGCAAACACAGGTGTATAGAAAATAATAACAATGAGCAGTAGAATAGCGAGGGTAGAATAAATGCAAAATGACCTATAAAATGAAATAGAGATAAAGTCCTGAAAGAGGCCTTACTAATTAATGCAAGGCTTTTTGTCATGATTAGATAAAATGTGGAGCAATTGGATATTAATAAAATAACATAAATTAACAAACAACAATTTTTCCTATTGTAATGTAAATTCAACGTTCAGTGCTCTCCATGGTAGTTAAATATTTGCATCATTATGAGCAGCTGTTCTGATAAAGGAGAGTACAAAGTCAAGTTCAATTATGAAATCTACATGGAAGCACTAAGTGTGGTATAGATAACCTCCTCTGCCACTTCACCAATGTAAGTCACATAACTGTAGTAGTGACAGCGGGTTAGCATTGATGTGTAATACTGCACAGGTAGCGCTGTATGTCCAGTTTATCAGCATGTCCTGTATTGTTTGGGCGGGGGGGAAATAGGGGGCAATGGTTATTTGCAGTCTGCATGTGTAGTTGAAAGTTATATTGCACAGCTTACTATCACTTGCAAAGGGAGATGCTCTGCAACAAGGTGGAATTTCTTAATAAGATTGCTGCTGTCATTAGGGATCACGGGCCAGATCTTCAGAATGTCGGTTGTTAATGATGTGATTTTTAGCTAATGTTTGGACTTGGAGCTATTTGATTTGCAGTGGCCAAGGGGCTAGCACTGTATTCAGTGTGAGATACATAGAGGAAGGGGGGACTGGGTTGAGTTTTGTTCCCCTCTGCATTCAGAAACTTTGAATGATATGATCTGAGCTTGTAAATCTGGTTTTTTACATTGCACTTAAATGGACATTTATTCAAAAAGATTAAGTTTTTTCCCATCATTCTTTTGTTTTAAGGTATACCGTATTTTTAACCGCTAGAGATTTTCATTTTTCAAACAAAGAAGAAATGTTCTAGCACTTACGGTGGAATATCTGGAACCTTTAAAACCAGATGGGTAAACCAGATTAAATTCCATTGTCAAATTGATCTGTTCGTACACTGATATTTTTACACTGTAAGAAAACTAAACATTAAAAATCCAGCAACCTAATTGTAAGGTCGTACTGTTTTCCAGGAGCACAGCGCTATGCAGAAGTTGCACTGCACACAAATTGACAAAATAGTGGCACAATATGACAAAGAAAAGGTATCATACGAGAAAATGTTAGAGAAGGCAATCAAGAAGAAGGGGTAAGATTATTTTAAAATTTTTTTTTAGACTTAAAACAGATTTTATGCTTTTGTGGTCTGGAATAAAACATTCATAAAATGGTCATTCAGATGAATGAATCGCAGCTTGAACCAGCGTCGTACATCAAACTGAATATGAGCTGCTTGAAGGCTCTAGCAATGGGCCATAAATGGTGTACTTCCTTTGCCTTTCTTTAGTCTTCTACTGTCAGAGTTTTAAAAGTAAAAGCGAAGGGCTTGCCTCAAATTTTTATTTCTGTGGTCAGATCTGGTCTCACTGCATTCCCCAGGGGATGTCACTGTTGTGTTCAGTGAGAGCAGACTAAGGTTCTCAATGGCTCTAATGGCCAGAAAGTAGCAATGATTTGATTTTGGGGAAAAAGCTGGCTTCTAAATCCTGAACATTTTAGAATGATAGAGTTTTGCTGTGCTGTCAAGTTGAAGTTTCTTTTTAACAAAAAAACCTCCAGATCCTCAGCTGGGATAAATCAGTATTACTCCTTTGACTTGAGTGAAGCTGTTTTGTTTTGCACTAGGTGATGGCCTGGGACATTATCTGTGTGGATCTCTTAATTATCCCAGAAAAGTTCCTGGAAGATACTAGTGACTATAATAAAATGTCCCTTTTACAGTCCCATTTGGAATTATATAGCAGGACCTGCTCTTGCCTTGCTGCTATCGTGTAATCTGGCAGCAGTTTCTCCCCTCCACCTTTCACCCTATGACTGGCATTTCATTGAGACAGCGGTTTATACTATAATACTGTAACCTAAAGCAGAAATTACTTTATTTAGTTCTATATTAAGCTATATATAAGCTATGCTAATAGCCTTAATTTCATATTGTTGTCATCTGGCAACAACTGGCAACCAACTCACTCACTGAATACTGAACATAGATGCCTTTTTGGCATTGGATTATTCCACAAATACTTTTTGTTTTATAACTTATTTGGAATGGCAGTGGTTTTTGAGTGTGCATGTTATAAACTTGCAACGGAACAGAACTGTCAGAAGTAAACAAAGTAAGGGGAATTCTCCTCACTAAATTATTAAAAGCTCACAAACTCTTTAAAAAGCTCATGTTGTTTCTTTTGTCCACGAAAGGAGAACTGTAAATACTTCTAATCCAAGTAGTTCCTTCCAGAAAATTACTACTTCTCCAAACAGAGGGGAAGAATTACAGGACTAATTAATTTAATGTGGCTTTGATTCAATTTCCATTTAATATAACACAGCAGAAGGTTATTGATGTAACTGGATTTATAATTACAGGCAGGGTGTTTACTGCAGTGGCAGTGAACTAAGCCCTGGACATTGCACCATAATTATCATGGGGGCAGAAAGGCTTCCCCTGTGCTCTGGTATTTAAGAATCTTGTATCAGAAGAGTCATGAATCAGTATTTCTGTTGGCCTGAGAAGCAGCCAGTGCCTCTGCCTGTCTAGGCAAAACAGCAAATGAAGGTGTGTCAGAAAGTTAAAGGTGGTAATGGCTGTCTCTGTGCAGTAAATAGTGGAAAGCGCTGGGTAACAATGCTTTCCAGAGTAACCCCAAATGGGACAAGTATAAAAGTAGTTGATAATCTGATTCCCAGTTTGAGATCACTTCATTGGCTACTTGCAGTGTCTTTTCTTAATTTTATAACACTTCTTTCATGGATGCCAAAGCCTTTATGATAGTTTTAAATTATAAAAAGTTAAAATAAAAACAAACAACATTGGAAATGACTACTCCAGAAGCAGATGCAATACACAGCAAACGCTGTTCCTGGCCATGACTCCATACTTTCCATGGACTCCAGAGCTCTCAGTCATCTGATGGCTCTTCAGTGTTACAAGAATAACTATTGGTATCTAATTAATAGCCAGATCAAATCCAGTATCAGCACGGTCTTTCTGTGAAAACACTTTTCAATTTTGTATCAAAGTGTTTTAAGGGCTTCCTTTCAGGGTCATTGTGTATGCAGCCCTGAAAGCCCATTCAGCAAGGTACTTATGCACACACTTCTCTTCACCCCAACTGTGCAGTATATTTGAGGACGTGCTTAAAAGTGAACACATTGGTTGCGACTTAAGGACTTTATTGAACTGAAATGATCTGATGAATAAGGCGTCCTGGGTTCAGTGAGTACAGGACATGCTCTATTTCCTTAGCTATCATTTTGAAACTTTTACAAGCAAGAAAAGTTGTAAAAGAACATGTAAAATGTGTTTTCAAGGCATTCATATTGAAATTATCAGATACTTCCTGAAAAAAAGGCTTTTTTATAGGTGTGTAGAAGACTTTATCTTCTGATTTTGTTGTGCAGTTTTTTGTGGTCCATTTCTGCCACATGGTGTGACAAATGTCAACTGCATATTGTTCAGCAAAATAGAATTTTTTAATCACGTGCTAATTCACTGACAGATGGACAGGATTTTGCTCCCTGTGCTATTTCTGTTGTACACTTCAAATGCTTACAAATCTCGGAGAGGCTCATGGGGATACGTATGCTCGTGTTCCCGCTCTGAAATGGAGTTGAGAGCACATAAAGATCCTTCTGATTTATTGGGACTGTCCAGAAATTCAAGTGTATGTGTGTGCATGAGCATGGACATGTGACATTGGGTTGAGCTGTCCCTGGGTATTTGTTCCCAACTGTGACTTGATAGTTTAGCCATGGACTATGCCACTGCAGTTGGGGACAATTCTCATTATGTCCAGCCTGGCTGGAAGTTGCTTTGGGATATAATGAAAGCTGCATTTCCAAGAAGGGATCAGCTGGTGGTTTTGATGTCTGGGATTCTAAAAAGTCCAGTGATTGAACCAATTAGACTACTTTGGGATAAAATATATTTGATTCACCTAAGAAGCAGTCACTTTCATAGTGTATGACAAATCAGATATGAATTATAGCCAGACTCTGAGCGCAGCTACCCACATGCATAATCAAAGACACTTTCCAGCTGTTTTTTTTTTCAGGCAAAGGTAACAGTGGTCAGAACCTGTGTCTATGCCTTTATATTACTTCCAAAGTGTCAAATGGGTGTTAGAAATCTCTACAGAAATTTCCTTGCTATGACTAGAAAATAAATGACTAGTCCTTCTGGTGGCCCTTGGGAACACAAGGCACATCACACTACTATTTTCAGTAAGGGCTTTCCTGGCATTGTTTGATGATAAAATTTTCTGCTAATTTCCATAACTTTAGGAGTACTTTGGTATTAAATTGGGATTTAAACTTGTTAAGAGTTTCATAAATCTCCTTTTCTAGAGCAAACATGGATTAATGTTACTGCAGTCAAGCAATAACCATTCTTGTTAGGGCCAGCTTCAGATAAAATAATGAATGTGGCTCCATCCACTCAGTGGAGTTACACCATTTTACATCAGTGGATGATCCAACACAGAAATAGTACAGTGATGTTAAAATAGACTCCTCTCAATATATTGTATTATTCCAGACAAAAAACCCCAGAGACTTCCAATGTGTGAATTTGTATTCTGTTGTAAAAACCCTTCACTGCAAAAAAGGGAACAAGAAGATTGGTAAAGATGGAGCTTGTCAACCTTCAAAAATTTATTGACTTTGGTGAGACAGTAATTGAAATTCCTGTTGTAGCTGCAATGGAATAGTTTTTCCTGTACATCCGTCCCACCCAGTGCGTGGCCCAAGTAATTGGGCTTCATGAAGGAAATTTTGTGGGTGCGAGGTAGAAGTCACCCATCTCCTAACCCACAGGCACGTCAGGGGAGCTTCAGCATGGGCCATCTGCAGGCATTTTACCAGCCTGTTGCTTAGAATCAGGCACTCCTCTTGCATTAAACAAGCTTTGCAACTTGCATTCAACCCTATTGACTTTACCCAAACACAAAGGCCATGCTGTATTTGGCTTATTGCAGGAGTGAGGGCTGTCATCAAGACTTGTCACTTTCTAAGTCATGTAAGATATCTAATGGCTTGGATTCATCAGCATGGGTTGGTGTGGTCTGCAAGGGTAATGAGGCCCCCTTCTTTGCAACCCATTCACTTCTGTTTTCTCACAGAAGGGCACTTACACTTTCAATAGGCGTTCAGATTTAGTATGCCCAAATTGCCCTGTGAGGTAGTTATTCAAATAACTTCTTTTTCTCTGCCTCAAACTAAAAAAAAGTAACAAAAATTACTTCTAAAACAGATGATAAAATCATGGCAAGGTAGTGAATATACCTGTAAGTTTTCAGGCAGAAACTGGTTTCTCTTGGTAAGGTATTTTAAGCCTGGAAAAGGAACCAAGTACCATAAATGGAGATGCTTGACATATCCTCAGCAACAGAATAATTGCTGGGCCAATCTAGAATTAATCGTGTGGTGTTTGAATTGAATGATTGTTAATCCAACAATATTTTGTAAGTTGTGAATAAATTGCCAGAAGATATAATTTCATTCCAATACGCTGCAGCACTTCAACTTTGATTAACATTTTAATTAGTAAGAGCTGACTGAATGGGAAGATGTTTAACTTGTGGCACACATTGCAATTTTCCTTTTTTTTAGAGGAAGTAATTGTCTTGAATTGAAGAAAGAAACGGAAATTAAAATTCAGACACTAACATCAGATCACAAATCTAAGGTAAGCAAACAGCCAATTTTAACACATGCAACATCTGAAAGAGAGATTTTGAGACTCAAGTGGTAGTTAATTTTCTTGGAAGCATATGAATGATTTTCTGCAATAATAACATGTTGAAAAGAATGGGAGTAATCGAGTGTCTAAAAGTGTTTCTTAAAAAAAAAAACCTAAAAAACAACATCAATTTCCTGCCCTTTTAAAATTATTGAAGAAAATGCCATATTCATGCCTCATGAAACTAAACTGGTCATTTGTGTCAGTTCTAGCTAAACAAAGAGACAAATATATTCTGTATGAAATTTGGATGCTAAATACTTTCTCAAAATGTATACATAAAGAAGTCTCTGTTTCATTTTCCCTCATTGCCACCATGGACAACACTTGCTAGTCTGTCTCTTAGGGAAGGAGGAGTCCAAGTTGCTCTTGAACCAAGTGCCTTCTTATTTCTAATATTTTTTTTTTTTTTCTCCATTGCTTAGTTGCATTGTTTTCTCCAAGGTGCTGGAGAACAAAAGTGCTTTGAGACTCAACCTCAGTTCATTTGGACAAGCTGTTCTCAAGCTTTGATTCATGGCTCACATTGAGTTGCTTAGAGCTGCTTCCTCTATACTTCTATACCACTATTATGCTCACCAACTCCATATTTCCTTTGAAAGTTTTATCTACCACCTGTTGACATGCTTTCAAGTTTCTAAAAGATATCCAAACTAGAGGGTGCAGGTACACTAGAAGACACATCCATGTACAAAACGATCTGGAGAGAGAAGAGTACAGGAGACTGACTCTATAAAAGCTGAAACCTGTGAAAAGAATCAGACAAGTACAGAAACCACAAACAAAAGCAGCCACATCTTTGAGACTAGAATAAGGTCGTTTCCATCTTTTCTTCTCCTAATTTTATTCTTTGGTATTATTATTTCATGTGGAGAAGATCCTCGTTTTCTAAATAAGGTTTCTTTCTTGTTGCTGCCTGCTCAGCCAAAGATGTAGGAAAATCCCCAGGAATAAAACCTAGTGTACTCTTACCTCCCTATCTCCTTCTCCTATGAAAAGTCCAGAACCATTTCCTTAAATAAAAGCAAATTTGTTGACAACTTAAAAAAAAAAAAAAGATAATCCATTCATTTCTTAGTGAAATAAACTGTCTAAGGAGCACTAGCTCCCTATCCTCCAGACATAAGCTCCAAAACTCATTTGAAGTTATATTGTGTAGAAAATTCTTTGCTGTGATCTCTGCTTCTCACCTGTGTCATTCACAGTCTGGAGTTAAGAGGTCTGATTTGTACACAAGGGACATCCAAGTGTTCATTAATCTTCCAAATCCAATAAATGTGACTCATGTTTTCCCTGTCCACAAATGTATGCAGTTTCTGAGCTCTGTTCCTTTTAAAATCCTGCTTTCAAACTGGTTCCCTTCAATTTAATCCATACCTGGAAAATAGATTGATTTTTGTCCACTCCCATGTCAAGTTTTAGGATGACATTTTCAAAGGAGACTTAAATGTAAGCTCCTTTGAAATGCCAAGCCTCTGTGTGTTGGATGATTCCTGAAGAACTCCTCTGCAAATCATCTACCTCTGTGGTTTTCTCTAGGTCAGTGATTTTCAATATCTTGCTCACTGTTGTTCCATCAAAATTGTCCAGATTACATACCAATTTTAGTATTCTCACAGACTTCTTTTGTTTCAATTGCTGTGTGGGGGCCCTTGAATTATTCCTGGAGATCATTCAAAGGTTTGCAAGCAACAGGTTGGAAAACAGTGCTCAAGACCATAGGGAAATTAACTTTTCTCCTAGATGAAGGTAGGTGCAATTAAATTAGATTAAATTCTGAGATGCTGAATGCATTACACTGATATAGTGGGAGTTTGATTAATTAACAGTTGTTCAGCATTTCTCAGCATTTGGTCCACTAATTTTGACATCAGATTGTACCATAATTCAGCTTTAATTACATCTCATGTCCTCCAGTGCAGCTCTGTGTCACGGTGTGCATGTACACTTTTAGCACCAAAGAAACCTTTTCATCTACAAAAGTCTTCCTGTCATGAGGAAACATCTAGCCCAAGTTTGGCATGAAATATTTAAATTAGATCTGAATGTCCCAATGTGTACTTCACACACAATTAACCTAGCAGATGCAAATTACTCCCCTGCATTAGAAAAGTGGGTCCCAATATCAAGCAGGCAGAGGATGAAAAGAAAAAAAGGAAAGATTACTTCAAAGATTATTCCTGCTTGAACTTAGTGACTAAACAAACATCTTGCATATATGCTGTGCAAAAGAAAGTTCCTTATCAAGATTTTTAATTAGTCTCTTAGGCCCACTGTAGGAACAGATGAAAGGACAGGATTGCAAACACAGTCTGTAGAACAGGAAAGACAGAAGTTAGCTAATGGTTATTTTTCTTATCCTTTTGGATAAGCAACACTACCTTAATAGTAGAAAGTAGGACAAGAGCACAGCCCAGTGCAAATGAAATAGTAATTTTTAACTATGATGCTAATAAATTGGAGAAAAGCAGGGATGTACACTGAATTTGCTACATGTGAACTTTGAAGTGTATCACAGATCTGCAGCAAAATTGGATTTCAGATGATTTAATGGTCTTGAGTTCTAAGGTCGTCTGAATCTGAGTCAAATTGGGTATTTCAAGTCTTGTAACTGGTGTTTAGCAAATACCTTACATCCTTCTCATCAGGTTATATCTTGATCTACCTGAAATAAGACTTGTAGCTTGCAGGATACTTAAGAAAACAAATCTTCCCTTTCTTTCCCGCCCCCAGAGGAAAACTTGTTTTACAAGGAGCTGTACCTGCTTCGTAGACTGTGTGCTGATTTTGAAATTAGTAGCACATCACTAGCGCATCTGTCCATGAACGCAGGCAGGGTTTTTTGTGATTCTTACTTCCTTTCTTCTCAGATTAAATACCTAAAGTACTGCCATGCTTAAGTCTCCTTGCAGGTTTTTTCTTTGGGAGTTGGAATCGATGATCCTTATGGGTCCCTTCCAACTCGAGATACTCTGATTCTATGATTCTTTGGTATCAGTGTACCGGAGATAGAGGACTCCTGCATTTGTGTTCCTCTGTAGTATATAACATAAACCATTTAAAAACAACGATCACATCATTCATTTGCAATGGGTCCTTGAGTTTTTGTTTCTCTGCATTTGTTTGGGCTTTGTAAACGCTCTTTGCAGGTAAGTCACAAAATACTTGCTTTCACCATGGCTTCTGCTGTTTATACACTTATTTGTTTCACTATTTTACTAAGTCACGATTTTTTTTTTTTATGCAAAGATTGTTTTGCGTTTCCTCTACAGCGTAAGGAGGCTTTAAATAAAAGCAAACTCTTTTTTGTTTACTGGAATGCCTGCCTGTCCTTTTAGGGCAATGTAAAACTCTCTGACTGTGACTAGGAATCAGATCTCATATGGTAATATCCCCTGCACTTTCTAATACTTTAAATTAGTCTGAAACCCAGTCCTAAGCGGCAGACTGTATGAAGAGTCGCACAGCAGCAAGGGGTGGAGGAGAATACTTGGCCAGGTCTGTCACAGTTCCTGCTACAATTTTATTGATGTTTGAAAGGGGGCAGAGCCCAGTCAGAGCATTCTCTGCAGGAAGGCAATTTGAATCACAAATCAGTGTAAGGAAACATGTGTTGGCTCCTGTGCCAAGATGTGTGGTACACAGGTGTGATTTGCTGCTGGCTCTGCCTGCTTCCTGGGTCACATAATAGCACTTGTCTTTTTTTAAATATTAATACTTTCTAACATTGTGACCATAGAAGTTTTCTGAGTACATAGTCCCTCTTCTGCTGTGGTCCCAGTTACACCCAGTTACTCAGGACTTGGATCTACCTGTACCTTTTTTCTCCAAGTCATGGATGGAGCTGACTCCGTCTGGAAACGCTGCATTGAAAATAAATAAATAAGGAATGGGTTTTCTGGAGAACTTCAGTCGTGACTGACTTTTAGCTCTCCTGAAGTCCACTCTAGGTCTCCCAGGGGGTTGATAAGCCAAGTGAGGTCACTATTGAGAGGAGATTCATGCAACCTAACTGAAGTGTTTACTTGCTTGAGGCCCTGTAGATATAAGAGAGGCATCTCCAGGCAGTGTGATAAATCGTGCTTTGAAACTGCTCACCTTTTCGCATCAGCAATACAAGGAGCTTGGACTAAACTTGGTCCTAGCTTAAGTGCCTTAGGGGGGTGCCAGAGCTGGAGTGTCTGCCCCTCAACCTTTCGAAAACTCCATCTGAAAAGTTAGTGTCTTTTCCTTACCAACATCCAAGCATTTACTTTGACCCATTTTAAAACAGAATCCTCATGTTTTTCTGGCTCTGAAGGCAGTACTGCCTTATGAACATCTTATTAAAGATACTACTCCAAGTAACGGCTCCACATCCTTTAGTATATTTATCACTTGATAGGCTCTGGCTTGATGGTACACTTAGCCACATGCACAAAAATAAGCATTTTGCTGGAGGTACACTCACTCTTAAACACCTAAATACAGAATTAGGCCTATATTAGTTGTACCAATCTCCTGCCTCAAAATGCTTTTGTTTTTTTCTGACAGCTGCAGAAAACTCGAGGTAGCTCTCTATCAGCTGCTTCTGCCTTCAATCCTATCTGTCTTGATATGGGACCACTATTTAACTATAGTTAAATGCAAGTCTGGCTTGCAGGTAGTGGTAGTCACCCTGATCTGTTACAAAATTACTTGCTTTTTTTTTTTTCCCCATTAGGAGTCCAGCTTTATTACACAACATGAGCTTTGTGTAGGAGGGCCTTCAGAGGAGCCTCTCCAGGGCAGAATGGAGGCTGGGGCAGTTAAGGTCCCCTCTTCTTTCACCAGCATCAGTGTGCGCAGGAGAGTCTGTTCTGCATTATGCAGAGCCCACACGTGGGCCCACATCTAAAATACTGTCATCGGTGTCTCACTTTCTGAGCAATATGGTGGCAATTTTTGGTTTGAAGAATAAGGTTTAGCTTTCACAGAAGATGACCCAGATGCTATTAGTTACCATAGTAGCAGCTGAAATGACTACCTGAAAATAGGTTTATTGTGAGGCATATTTTGTATACCATTTGTGGAAAAGTAGGATAGCTTGTCAAAATACCCAAAGATAATTATTAAAGGATAATAAAATATATCTTTCTGTTAGCTTCTTTTCTAAATCATTGAGTGCAATATACTCTTATAACAACAACGCTGGTGATTTAGACTTCTTCATATTGTCTCTTGGGAACTTTCCAAAACTTTAATCTTATTATTCTTGTGAGTCTTGGGAGATAAGCAAGAGAAGAATACTTGTCAGATTCCCTGTTGACTTAATATAAAACAAAGATACATAGCCCATCTTCAGATTCAGGTTGTATTAAATACAGGATTTCTCTGTAAACTGACTGTGTTTGTAAAACTGTCTCCACAAAATCAAAGACTGTATTTAAGTCCTTAGAGAAATCCCGCTCACTAGGTTTTTTCCGTAGTTAATTTCAATACTTTTAACACATATTTTTTTCTTGGCAACCAAAAATGTGAAACCGTTTTATTATGAACTTAGTGTTAGAGAAGGTTTTAAAATAACAGTAGTACAGTCGAGAGTATAAATGCAGCCAATTTATTCAGGGCACTTAAGATAAGAGAGTCCTAATAGCAGGGGTTGTTTTACATTTTTTTTTGTAATACACTGTAGTGTCCTCAGTGGCTTTGTTACTCTGTGAAGCAACTTCATTTTTCACAATTTAGCTGCATTCTTTATAATCTCTTTTTATGATTGTCTTTACATCATCTTCAGCAGCAGTAACAGTTGATCTCCTAGCCTAGCTGAGAACTTTTAGCAAAGCTACTGTTACTTCTCTACAGGTCAAAGAGATTGTGGCGCAGCACACTAAAGAGTGGTCTGAGATGATCAATACGCACAGTGCCGAAGAGCAAGAAATCCGTGATTTACACTTGAACCAACAGTGTGAGCTACTGAAGAAACTGCTGATTAATGCTCATGAACAACAAACCCAGCAGCTAAAGTTTTCACATGACAGGTGAGCAGGGCAATGCTACCTGATAATAAGGGTTGGTTTATGTCTGCTTTGTATAATGTTTTAGTTTCTTGTGTTGATAGCTCCTGTACTTCTGTCAAAGATACTGGGCTGTATGCATGGTAGAAGTAAAACAAGTGATCTTAGAAGGTTTAGATAGATGCAGGAATAGGCTTCTTAGCTGGTTTAGATTGTCTGAACTTGATTGAAGGCAGCGGATGCGATGAAGTGGTGGTTGTTTGCATCAACTGTGGATGCTTAGACTTTACCCAGGAACTTCAATTCAGAGGCTGGAAACTGAGAAGTATCAAATATGGAAACACAGTTGCAGACGCATGTGTTTATCGTATTGGTGATGATAAAGATCCATGACAAGTAAGATCATAAAAACAGTGGGTAGCAGGATAAACTACATTAGACTGACGTATTATCTTCATACAATATCCTGTCGTAGTCACTGGGAATACAGAAGACATTGCATGACACTACTGTCTTGTTGCTTTTGTAATTAACTATCCTGCCCATTTGAAATTAAATAAAATTAAATACACATTGTATCCAGAGTGTTAAAAATGGCAGTAAGTAGAGGAATCATTTTTTTATGCTATGATCTATTTTGCAAAGCAGCCTAAAGGCATGTGAATGCAAAATGTGTGTGTACATACGTACATTATATATTCAGACATATATATATATATTCGTATGTAATTGTCTTCAGCATCTTTCACATAATAAGCATGGGGAAATAGGAATAAATAAATCGCATTTGAAGAAGGAATTGAAATGATTTTTTTAAATTCCTGAGTGAAAAAACAGCTTATCTTTGCATCAGAGAGAACACATGCTGGGACCTGCAAGCTTTCCATCCAACAGAGATGGAAAGCAAAGTCCAAGCAAAAGGCTTTAGTGAGCTCATCTTTATGTTGATCTCTGTGTTAACCCAACTATTCAAGCTGTCCTGTAATACATACCCAGTCAAAAATTAAGTCCAAAAATTGTTAAATTATAATACAAATGCATCACTCAAAAGATACTAACCAAAGGAAGGTGCAGTCCTTGGTACTGTATCTCTAAATCATAGCTGGTTGCATCAGCCTAGAGAAATCACATCACTTTTTTTTTTTTTGAGTGTCCTGTTTGCTGTCCTATTTGAGATTCACTACAATGTTTAGAAGATAATTACTAATACATAGCCTGTGAAAGTAAGGTTTTGGGGTTTTTTTCCATACGTATTTCCTTATTCTCTTAACTTTGCTAAAGGCTGCCATTATAGGCAGCTATTATATCTACAGTAGGGCAAAGGTTAATTTTTTTTTAAGCTTTTTGCTCGTAGTTTTTGGTTTTGGATTTAGAATTTCTGTATCTCTGTTGTTTAAACAGCCCTATGTTGTTTCTTGTAAATGGTTCTTATATTACTAGTAATGGATCTTGCTGTCTTATTAGAAATCATTCAGTCCATGTATTGTTCTATTTTCAGAGCTACTAAGAACCAGACCTCAAAATTTACAACCTGATAAATAACTTTTTCTTCTCAGCTGTCCCAGGAATAACAACGTTCAAAATTCTTTCTGCTTTATTCATTGCAATTTAGTGTGTTTCTGCTTATTTATGAATTTGTGTGTAACCCCTAAATGTGCAGACTGAGGGACTTTCCTGTTTAAAACAAATTTAAGACTGTGTCTAAATCTATGACTATTTCAGAAGAATTTGGAATGTGAAATATTGAAATGTGAATAATAATGCCCTAAAGAGACTTTACACTTAATAATTTGTAAACATTTTTATAGAATGTATTGTGTGTAGGAATACGTACGCATTTATCTGTATAGGTGTATGTAATAGCCAAGAGACAACTCAGGTAACCATAGGAAAAAAAGGATCTCTGTGAGAGCAGCGTGGGAGGTGGACCATGCTCTCAGCATGCTGTTCTCACCGCTTCCCTCTCTGTGAGCTGAGGTAATGGCTTAGCTATCACAACAGAGAACACAGGGCTAGTAGGAAAGATCACTAATCTAAAGTGATGTCGTTATCTGTTGTAGGGTAGATACTTTCCCTCCGTGTGCAGTACTAAAAGCAATTACAGTTTGTGCTTTCAGCTCGTTTAAAAACAAAGCAGAAGACAGCAGATACTACTAAAAACCTGAAGCTTATTGAACTCCGGGGGTGCTGTGCCCCCTGCTACCCCTGACTGGGTTAGCTTGGCTGACTTGGATGTAGTGAGCTTGCAGCATTTCAGAAATTGGGCACGTGAAGCTGTTATTCGCAAGCATTATGTGTTCCAGACAAAATAACATGAGAGGGAAAGACAAATTGTGTTTGGGTTTTTTTAATAGAAGAAGACATTTCTAGTCATTCAAACAATACCGGTGACGTAAAATAACATGTTAATGCACTTTAATGTCATCTAAATATATGTATAAATTCCAAAGATAGACTTACATGCTTAAAGTTAAGCATCCCTTTAAAAGACATGTTTGTATAAATTTCAGAGTTGCAGTCAGTAAGATACCATAGGAAATCAGTAGTTAAATCTTGCAGCTCATGTGCCATGTTTTTCAGAATCTTTTTTTTCTTTACCATCCTGCCGGATCTACTTCTTCCAGTTAACTCTGGCTACAGGCGTCACCACCACTTGTGAGCGGGAGGGAGTTCTCTAATGGTGGCGTAGCGCTACCAGCCAGGGCAGCACGGGCTGAACTTGAGACTCGATGCGAAGCCCCACGCCAGGCGGTAGAGCAGTGAACTGACACTAGAACTTTGGCCCCATCTTTGAGAGTGCTATTTTAGAAACAAGGAGTGGTCCCGATAAGTACTTCTTGGTGATTTTAAAAGGAAGATAAGATTTTTCATTTCTTCTGTTATTAATACTTTTTATTTCTTGCATGCGGTGAAAACCCAACACACCCAGAAAGACCCAACAGCAGTGCAACTCGGAGCTAGATTATAGATCGCAGAATAGAGAAACAGTTGCATATAGATTTGTTGGCTCTTTCAGTCATATCCATAGCCAAAGCCTCTTGATTTTGAAATCATTAGTCATGCACAGTAGTCCTCTAATCCTCTTAACTTCTTTCACTCTAAAATTATATCTGATGCAAATAGGCTAAATCAATTTGAACACCCAAACTTAACTTTTTTCATATCCTTGAGCACAGTAATAAGAATAAATTATTTCAGTACTAGTCTTAAGATAGTGTGCTTGAAAATTACTTCAAATTCAGTATAGAAAATAACAGTTTTTATTTGGAGGAAGGACTGTTGGAATGACATGTGCTCTTAACACAACATTTTTTAGAACCCAGTCTAATTTTTGCTGTGATACCACTGCTTTTGAATCTGCATTCAGGAAATGTTTTACCTTACGAACTCTGGGATGAAAAAAAACAGCACTGCATTTTTTTAATAAAAATTTTAAACTGTGGAAAATGTAAGTTATGGAACAAAGTTTCCTCATGCTACTTAATGATTAATGTCTTCTAGAGATGAAAGCAAGCTAAAACAGATTCACTGACAACATTTCATTAAATTAAGCACTCTGTTATGTGTCACACCCCTCCTCTTCTGTGCATACAAAATACTTAGAATTTTGGGTTAATAAGTACAATAATTGTTTAGTGCTCTACTTAAGATCATGTCCAGAAAAAGAGACTAAGGCACTGCCTTGGCTTGCGACAGGTAACTTTCAGATGCTTATGCACTACTGGGGAGTTTACAATCCATTATTCGCTGCCTAATTTCCATATATAATTCCTGTTTAAATAAGCACTTAAGATCAGGAGCTGCAAGTGCTGGAATGCTAAGCAGGCAGAAAGCAAGAGCTAGCCTTCAGGGACGGCCTTTTTGGAGCTTGGCTGGCTTACCCAGGGTGATGAAAAGCCCTTCCGCCCACTCACAGTTCATAAGCCATTTCTGAAAGTCAACATCTGTGCTGGTACTCCCGACAAAGAATCACAATCTCTTTTTCTTTTTAAAACAACAGGATATTTATTTACTTATTTTCTGGTTTTCTACTACACTAGCTGAAACACTGAAGAGGTTTTCCACCTCCCATGTCAAACCACACCACCCAGGACATTACCCCTGGAAGGTGATTGCCACCCTCCTGTGAAAGCTGTCTTGTTTCACACAAAAGGCTACAAGGTTCACAGAGCCAGAAGGAGAAACCAAACACAAGTCTGACCATGGTCTAAACCACAGGGCTCTTTTCAAGCCCAAAGTAGAAGTCTTAAAAGGAAGTCTGTCAGCTCATACCACAACTAGCAAATATTATTACTATTCATATTGCAGTCGTGTTCTGAGTGCAGGATTTGTAAATTTTTTAGGCAGTTTTAAAAGACAAATTGCATTTTCTAAATGGCTGATAGTAGCTCATACTCGGACAACTCTCATATACTAGGGGAAAAAAGAGTATTTTATACCCTTTTATAATATTCAAAGTGTAAAAATGCTTTAAATTGATCTTTCAGATTATATTCTCTGGAACAAATGGAGATTTCTGAATGCTTGCTCAAGCTGTATAAAGTCTACCCAAAGGAAGGCAATTTTCATATAGTTTGTTCTTTCCTCATCTTTTAATGCTTCAAGGACAAAATTAACCATAGTGTAGAGTAGTATCAGGAAAACAACCTCAACAACAATTGCATCTTAGACATTAATGACTTTGTTTGGTTTTGCCTAGGGAAAGCAAGGAAATGCGTGCCAACCAGGCTAAAATATCTATGGAGAACAGCAAAGCCATAAGCCAAGACAAATCTATCAAAAATAAAGCTGAAAGAGAGAGGTAAGTATCAGATCTCCCTTCTTGAGAAGGGAAGAATGCTGTCAAAGGTTGACAGGTGAACTGGTGGATTAATTCTATTAAAACCATGCTTTTATGTTTGGAAACAATGTCTAATGATTGTGCTGAATATATTTTAGATGATCATTTTAAGAAAAATGTTGCTTTTCTCGTATTTATCCTTTTAATAAATGTAATGCCCTGATCAGGGAAATAAAAAAGTTTTTAACTATATACTCATCAGCTATGACTGACTGCTGTAGGTGTAATCACACTATTAAATTGAAACACATCTGTAAGAGTTTTAATGATTGTACTTAAAGTGCATTATACTTTTTTGCTGCTGCTTTTTAAATGAAATGAGGGCTATACTGAAAAGGGAGTCTGAGGTTTGGTTCTAGCTGGAGTTAGAATAACTGGAGAGGCAGCATCACTAACAACACAAGAGGTTGTGCTAGTGAAAGGCTTTGTCCCTCATCTGCTGATAACACGGAGGAGAGGTGGAACAGAAGGAGGGAGTGCTAAACGTGATGATAACCAGTGGAGAGGGTGATGGAAGATAGGAGTGAAGCAGCAGGAGATGTACTCCACAACAGCACACGTGGTGCTTCTCCACTCCTGAACCGAACTGCAGCTCTCTCCCTGGTTATGTGCTGGCATTGGAGACCTGGCCAGCATCCAGGCTCAGCAAACCAAGGGCACTGCTGCACTTGCAAAAGTTGGTTATTCACAGCACGTTTGGGGATGATGGCCTTAATTGACTTGAGAGACTAGAGATACACTTGCCAGTACCACCTACTGAGACTTTTTGGAGGATTGATCTGCATTATAGCTATTTTAAGTTTCTTCTATTTATCCTGAAAGTTTCCAAATAAATAGATAAAAGCAGAGTCTACATGATGATGTCTCATAAGCCTTCAGGGTTTCCCCTTCACTTTGGGCTTGCCATCCTGGCTTATTCTTTCCTCCTACATTCCCTCCTTGGCACTGGGCTATTTTGGTCAAAAAGCTTGAACTTGTTCCCACTGAACTAAGTCCCTTGAGTATTACAGACTCCTGGCTCATGAGGAAGATGAGTTGTCGGAGCCCTTGGTAACTGTATGCTTAGTTAATGCAAGACCTCCACTAATGACTCTGAGATAAATCTGTTCCCAGATTTGAAAGCAGTCTGAAAGCAGTTCTGGTTTTCAGGCTTGGCGATTGGTCTGATTCAGCTCTTTGAACTACCTTTGGTATATTTCATGATGGAAATCTTAGGAAGAGACACTTTGCAGTTAGGTATTTTATGGAAATACTAATTGTATACTTACCTTTTTGCTTAAATAACAGCTTTAAGAACATTACGGCATTGGTAAGCTGTAGCTTTACATATGATTATCAGATGATTTTTCCATTACCACTGTTAAGAGATGTAACACTTTTTATATACCAAAATAAATTGAGAGCAGAGTGCAGTAAGGGATACACAAACAAATTAAACATTTTTTTAATTTCTGTCCACCACTCTTGAGTGTGGGAAAAAGCAAACTTCATTCACAACAGTCTTGGTCTTTTTTTTTTCTTCAAGTCTTCAATCATACTGTCAATGTACTTGGAAACCTTTAAGTGTAAAGGTGCATAGCCAGAGGAATGTACAATTAGTCCCACATGGTACAGATAATCAAAAAACAAAATATACCTTATGAGTTTGTGATTCTCTCTATTGGGTTTCTTTTTTTCCAATGAGTCTTCATGGGTAACGTTTGCATTTTTTTTAGGCGAGTCAGAGAACTGAACAGCAGCAACACAAAAAAGTTCCTGGAGGAGAGAAAGAGGGTAACTATAACCTTGACAAAGTCACTGGGCACTATTTCTGGATATTCATTTTCATTTCTCTGTGTTGAGAATCCAGCTCTAGTAAACAAACCGATGTTTGTCCTTTCTTTGTTCCACATACTTGTAGTGTAAAAGATCTAACATCTATATAAGAGGAATCTATTTTAAGTTAACAAAATTACTATTCATTGTTTTGTATTTGCTACTTTTATGTAATATATATTATATATGTAATATGTATAATATACATATATTATTATATTAATAGCTCTTCTTAAGATTGGGTGATAAAATCGGCCTCCTGTGATGTTTTGTGCCATCCAAATGGGGCAAGACAATGTATATATGTGTATGTTTCAAGTAAGTTTTTATTTTGCTTGTTAATAATGTGTTGCATTTCCCCCCCATTGTTTTCTCTTGCTTACAGCTGGCAATGAAGCAGTCAAAGGAAATGGATCAGTTGAAAAAAGTTCAGCTTGAGCATTTAGAAGTCTTGGAGAAGCAGAATGAGCAGGTATCTTATCTTAAAGGCTTAAAAGAAAAGCAAGCTAGTGAAAACAGTAACCAGAATCAGGCTGAGTAGAATGCTTCTGAATGTAAGTCATTACCGAACTTGGGAAAATGACCTTGTTCGTGGTCACTCACCTATTTGGGGGGTTAAAATGAAGAAGTGAGGTGACTTAAATAATGATACAGAACCAGATTTGTTTCAGATAAGCATGTGAAAGCTAGACTGCTTAGCTAGAGTCTGTCCTTTCAGCTGTTCAGTCACGTTGATACTCCTTAGCTAGATATGACAGTCATAAAAGGCCCAGCATATCCATTTTAATTACTCCCAAAAAGTACCTCAAGCAAATCAGTTTCCTTCATTTTGGAATGTGCTGATTGGAAAATAGAGGTGAAAATGTGCACAGAGCATCTCTGAACTCTAAGAGACAGTTTGGACTGAATTCTAGAGATGTATAGTAGCATGGGGAGTTTTATCTGTACTAGTACACCCTTTCCTAATTAAAATACCTTACTATTTTCTGCTAGTTTATAAGCTTTTTTTTTTTTTTAAATTGAAAAACTACTTGGCAAGAAAAGGAAAATTCTAATCTTATTTCTGGTAGAAGAAACGCTATGTTCTGAGCAGTTCCCTTGTTGAAAGATTGAGCCAGCAGAGCTGTAATAATTGCATGGACTTGCCGTACTGCACTTACAAAAATGTAAAATGCAAGGGGAATATACCCAGCAGTTCAGTGAGATGAGAGAGAAGGGTTACATTTAATACCCATTACTTTCAAGGGTTATGTACCTACTTCTTTGTTTATTAAATGTTCAGAACTTGAACTCTCTGGCAGACATTATAGTATGAATTAAAGCCATCTTGCAGAGCAGGAGGGAAGAGAAGAGTACATGCAAATCAAGTATTTCCACTGTCAGGAGAGAGTCGTACAGCCCCAAAAGCTGCAGCCTGGTTGACTTCTAGGGGGGTGACAGCATGGAGGATCACAGACAGCTACCACCGAGCCCCTGCCATCATGGCTCTGTCTTCTGATCGCTCTGCCTCCCTTCTGGACAACAACCAAAACTTCCTAGTCTGTTCCCTCACAGAGTTTCTGTAGACGCTGTCTCTAACATCCAGCACGAATGGATCTGTCAGTCAGTCTGCTCCTGAGCAATATCTGCACATAATCAAAAGGCAGGGGAGGCAGGCACCCAGGGAAGGCAATTGGGCTACAGCGGATCTGTAGCATCACTGTAAAGAGCATGACAGAGAATTCCCTGTAAACTGGGCTAGTTCACAAAAAATGATGGACTTGATCCAGAGATAGGTGTTATCAGTGGTTTCTTTCCATTGGCTTCAGAGGGCTTTGGATTTTTTAAAAACGTAAGGACAAGAGGGAATGATTATAGTTGTGCTTTTAACCACAATGCCAAAAACACCTTATGTATAAGGGAGGGAGGTTGCTGGGGAATAAATGTGAGTCATTAAAGGAGTCACCTCTTTCGGCAATTAGATACTTACCTCACCTGGGGTTACAGCTTCCACTGCTGAGAGATGGTAACAGCCTACATGAGCTTGCTCATACTCCATTTTAGTGCAGAGATGAAGTTGGCTTAAATCATCAGTGATTAAATGGAGTAAGATTCACGTGCTGGTTCTCACTTTTGTGTGGGTATGTGGTGGCCTCCACCACTGGGGTAGTCCTTAACAGCTTTTTAACTCACTCTAATTTGATCCATCAGAGCATATATTTTGATACCTGCTGTTTTGACCGCTTCCTTTTAGCCCTAAAAGTGCACCAGTGCAAACCCCCAGCTGGGTCTGGTTTCGTTGTTATACACATTGATGTATGAAAGCTAGTTGGATCAAGATAAAGGTGGTATTTGTTTAATAAGAATTTCAAAGCGTGATTTTTTTTTTTTTTTTTTCCTCATCAAACAAGGGAAGAAATTTTTCATACAAATATACAATGTAGAAAAGCAGAATTATGGGTGGAAACAGCCTTCAATACAAACTGTTATGAATTTAAATTTGTTTTGTTTTATATATGTTTTTCTTGCATTAATTTTTCAATCTCACTTCAGTTTTCATTCATTTAATTTGCTTCTTATTGTATTACTCAATTTTGACATTATTATTTTTGTACAAACAGCTTTTGAAATCCTGTCATGCAGTGTCTCAAACACAAGGTAGGATGGATGTATAATAAGCAAACTATTATTTCAGTGTGCTTTCCTTCTAAATTAAATCATTATCATTGGAGCCCTCCTTGTGAATGCAACCATTGGGAAGTACCATTGACATAGGGAACACAATGTTAATCTTGTTTGCACACAGATATTTGAGCCTGACACAATATTAACAGTACTTTGTGCTTTAGTGTCCCAAATTCAGATGCATATGAGCAGTGATGTGCAGAGGAAATATTTAGAAATTAATTTGTATTGTACATTACCTGTCGTTACTGAAAGATACACTTAGAGTTCTAAACTGTGTCTGTGAGAAGTGTCTATTGATCTAAGAAAACTATTTTAGTGTTAACATACTTATGATTAACTGCTAATGCTGACAGACAGACAAAGAATATCCACATATATCAATATGGTAATAAAATAAGTAATTCCATACTAAGAATAGCAAAATACAGAACAGATGGCTAGAAATAGCTTTTTAGTGTCTAAAGAAGAGAGGCTTCCAGCGCTTTAAAATTCACTTCAAAATCCAACCCATTACAAGGTATGGCAATTATATTTACCATGTGGCTGTGCTGCTGTGGCTTCCTAAATAATTTTTACTCACAAGAAATCTCTGTTAACTCTTTTCTTACCAAGGGCAATAGTTGTATTAGGCTTGAACATCCAGTTGTACAATATTGCCTATCTGAATTATTTTCTTGAATTGATAACATACTTGTATCTTGTACCACTGAGTCTGACAGCACCCACTTCAACAACATTTATTTATAGACACATAATGAGAGAAAAAAGCATTCATTAGCTAGGGAAGAAAGAATATTCTTTTACTGTATATGGTTCTTAGCCTGTCTTAGATCTCACTAGAGAGCAAGCGTCTTGAAAGCAGAGTCCATTAGCTGCCGCTCACTTCATGAATTCACTGTAGCTTCAACACTGCCTTCCAGAAGGCTCATCTTCAAGTATCGTGCTTGTGCATTCACGTCAGAATGCACTGTCTGAACCAGCCTCAGACTAGCAAAACTGGGCATCCTGATCCTATGCTAATGTGTTCTTTGAAACCAAGTTCTCTAAAATAATTCCATACGCCATATATTGGCATGCACAATATTTATAGGACACTATGTGCCAGTTGTTAAGTCACAAGCTTAAAACTTGAAATGTGTGAGTCACTAAGAAACAAACATAGGGTTTTGTTTTATCTGGAATTTCATTTCACACGCAGGCAAAATCCAGCCAACATTTCAGAAGAGGTTGTACATATTGATTTATTTATTGTGTTTCCATATTTTCATGTTAAAATTATTTCTTCATTACTTTCCAGCTTTTAACTCATTTAAATGGAGAGCGTTGATTAATTTTTAATCATATTTATGACAGTTGGTTTGCTATTATCATAATTACTTTTTTCCCCAAGATGGTGATGATGATGATTATGAAAGTACAGGGCTAGATTTTTTCAAGAAGGCACGTATATCACATCTGCACAAACCCACATCTACCTTGCAAAATGAATAGCTGTGCATCTCATTACTTTAGATCTACATCTGCCCATTTTTGCATATGCAAATACGCATTTGCACATCCAGAATAGGTGATTCCTTAAGCAGGAGCTTGTATAGCCAAGTTCCCTGTCTACGCAACATTTACAACTTTTTGAGGAACGTAGTTCACGTAAATCAAGTGCAGTAACCATTCTTCCCTGCGTGACAGACACAAAGCAGTTATACCAAAGAAAATACTAGCTTGGTTTGCTGCTTCTTAAACCTGTCCTAATCTTCAGGAGCTTGGTTGTAAAGATAGATGGGTTAGCTTGCCCTCTGGGTCAACCTATTCAGAGTCCTTTGGGATATGGATTTAAATAACTTCCCAGATTGAGAGCCCTCAGAGAAAATGAAGAGATGGTGACTCCCAGTTCTTTAAAATGCAGAGTTTCAAACCAAATTACAACTTCTAATCTGTAACTGAGCTACAGGAGGAGTAAGTGTGTGTGTGTGCACATCTGTGAGAGAGAGAGAGAAAGAGAGGGAGAGGAAAGGAATTTTTAAAAGTTCTCTCTAAGCAGGGGATTCCCAGGCCAGTTAGCACTTATATACAGTGCTTTAACTCTGCTTGCAAAGTCCGAGGCATGCAGAGTTTGTAGCGAGATCTGGCGTACATTTATTGCTGTATTCTGCACAACGCATTTGGATACAGTTTCAGGTGGATTCAATGTGTGTAATCCCATGGAGCATATAATAGTAGTCCAATCCTGAGGTGAAAAACACCTTGTCTGTAATCGTAAGGATCTCCAAGTCAGATGGAGATTATTTTTTAAAAATTATTATTTAAAAAATCTTGCTTACTGCAAGGAAGATGTTACACTGATGGATTTTTGTCATTCATTGTCTTTATGAAAGAAATGAGTCCAGATCATAGATGAATTCTCTAAACATTTCAGGAAGTAACACATCACAGTACTCGCACAACAGCAGCGAAGCATACATTCCCAAAGACATTTCCTATCAGGAGAAAAAGTTGAATCGGCATCTGCCTAGTTTTCTTCCCCAAAATTGGACCTTCTGCATTTTACCATACACTTCTTCAGAAAGTCAACCCATGAGTCTTGGAATAGGATCAAAAATATTTGATAATAAGACATAAGAATTACATCTGATTTTGAAAACAGAATGACACTGGGGGGGTAAACGTAATGTTATTACATATATCTTCAGTGTGGTTTGCCTGTATTTCACTCAGACACTATCATATAAAACACATGCTTCATTTTGAACAAAAGGTCTAATGCAATGCTTCATGCGGTTATTTTGGATTGCAGGCAAAGGAGATGCAGCAGATGGTGAAGCTGGAAGCAGAGATGGATCGCAGGCCAGCAACAGTGGTCTAAAGCCTCAACAAGCAAATTGAAATTGGAGAACACAGCATCCTTAAAATGAGAGCAAAATTCAAAATAACATTGCTGAGGTTGAAAAGTGGGCTTTTTTCTTTTTGGTTTTTTTTTGGGGTTTTTTTTTGGTTTTTGTTTTGGTTTTTTGGGGGGAAGGGGGGGTGTTTGTGTTTTTGTTTTTAATATATAAAATGTAGCTACGGACCACCAAGTCTTAAGGTTTGCATTATTTCTTTTTTAACACTGGGCACTGAATTTCCTTTGTTGGATTTCCATGATAAGAATTTCCTTTGTTCAGAAAAACACTAATTGGAAGATGAAGACAGTTTTTAAACCCAGTCCTGTATTCCTTTCTGTATCCCAACAGGCAGCTTGCCTGCATCAGAATTACACAATCAGAGCCTTGAAACACAACAGATATTTTTAACATCATCTCAAATGGCAACAAAACTGTAGTCAAGTCATGTTATTTACCATTTGTGTTCTCATGTGTGATATATTATGTAGAAACCCCATGCTGCCAGATCCTGACAAGCAACAACTCGTCAGATGCTCGGCACCTGATGTCATCGAGCCCACTGAACTGGATCTTCTGCTAAGTCACCGTAATAATCAGTATAGTAAGGAGTTGAGTTTGGGCAATTTTAAATTATATTTCAAAGTATTTTTCAGGCAGCAGACAGTAGGCAGTTGAAAGTTAACTGCGGTATATTCAAAAGTACTATATGTACAAAGTCATCGGCCAAATTCATCAACTGTAACAGTAACTTGACAGGATATTTCTGCAGTCCAATGATGTCATTCACAAGTGCCATATCAACTCTATCATGTCTGAAAGAAGCCGATATCCTGTAAAAGTTACTGCAATGGTTGGCGTGAGGAAAATACAGTGTATTTGTGCCAAAACTGATCTAAGGAATTTATGTGTTAGGCACTTTAAGAAAAGTTTACATCCTACATTGCTTGTATAGAAATTGCATTTTGATCCTGCTGCGGCAGATCCCAGATATTACAGTTCATTGTAACTTAAAGATTGTTTAAATGGCTTTTGGCAAAAAGTTTGTAACTGTGAAAATGTAAAAAGTATTTATACACTTCAGAATCACAACATTGTAGAAAATCACATACATGTTGCCATGTGATAAAATTAGTAAACAGAAATGCTAAGAGTATGTTTGCATGTGATACAAATGCTACTAAGACTGTAATGCCTACTATATGACCACAGTCATTCTACTAGCTGGTAAATACTGAATAAATGTATGGCACAGAATATTGTTTGATTAATTACAAAGACTTTTAGCATAACAAGGTCTCTATATATATGTGTGTATATTAATTACGTGGGCATTCTTGATACTTGTAGTAAAAGAAAAGTACATAACTAATTTAATTTTACACAGAAGTATTTATGCAGATTTTCAGAATTTCATATCAGGAATAACCTTTTTATGTCCATTAGATATAAAAACAATTTGCTAATGTGTTAATTTGCATGTTTCCAGCGCTTGCTGTAGTTATATTGCAAAACAATGCATGTAAGCATTCTGCTTGGAATTTGTCCATGCTGCCAATTCAAAGATGACTGCATGGAAAACTGGTAGTTTAGAACAAATCAGATTCCTGATTTCAATGTACTAAGCACCAATTACTTTGTTGTATATGCTTGTACAAACAAATTCTACATATTCCTATAAACAAAATAAATGAAAAGAGATAATTATGTTATTGTCAGTCCTGAGATGAAACTTTCAACTTCTCTAATAAAAACATTAAAAATTCAAAAGCTTTAGTTTTGACTAGTGAATTGTAGGGTGGTGGTGGTATTATTACTTACAAATTTTTAGTAAGTTGTATTTCCTGTAAAAATGTGCATAGTGTAAATATATTTCTATCACAGCTTATTTATTCAAAGGAGTCTTATTTCTTTAAGATAGAAGAATTGTGCAGAATTGGTCCTCGCAGCACTACAGAACTACCGTAGTACAATGTAGCAGCACTACCTTGAGATGCAGCAACCCGAGTACAGTGTAGCAGCACTACCTTGAGAATGCAGCTGAGACAGAGGTCAGTGAAGTCTTGAGGTGTTTAAGGCAGGATTTAAACAAACTTTTGGTGCCTATTGAGAATTCCCATTCTGATGCCACTTAACCTTCGGAGGCACCTCCAGCTCCTTATGGTCTATAATGTTATAAAGACAAGTAGTGTGCGCCTGCACTACTGGGAGCAGCTCTCCCTGCTCTCCAAGCTTCGCTGGTCCTCTTCTCGAGTGCTGGAGGGAGGGAGCTGGGAGCAGCAGCGGGCTCAGAGCGTGCTGGACAGGAACCGGCATCTCAAAAAAGGCAGTGTTTTTTTAATATTTTTTTTTTTTAAAAAATTAAAAATGTCTTCTAAAACAGTGCTGGTGGAGACAGTGCTGCGAGTTGGAATTTTATACTGTTGCCTACCACAGTGGTTTCTAGCCAGTAAGGAGAAGCAAATGACAGACCAGATACGGAGGGAACCAGGTAGTGAAGCATTGAATGTTACTAGTTTTCTTAGGCTCACTTACAGCCTGGCTGGAAACCACTGCCCTACCTGTTAAAGAAATGAGTGGCAATGGAGGACTTGAGTTCAGCTCACATCCCTCTCTGAGGAAAATCAAACCTGCCCATCTTAATTCCCTGGCGAGTATCCTATGCATCATGGAATACGCTGATTTTGGAAGGCTTGAAAATACTGTCCACAGCCTCCTTTTGAGTCTCTGCTCGCTGCGCAGCCAGGAGCGAGACATTTATCAAGTCAGAGAGAAAATGTGCTTCTGTGAAACCACGGAGCTGGGTAGCCTCAGCTTCCAGGCTCAGCTCCCAGAACTGTTATGTATTTCATCCATTGACAATTTAGCATAAAATGCAGACAGTAATTTGAAATTAAGTGATTAATTTTGTCAGCTAAGTATTTTGAAATACTGTTTAAGTAGTATTTGATTCAAAAATTATTTGAAGTTTGGCGGCTAATGTAATGAGGTGAGAATTTCCATTGAGATGAAATAGGCTAATCAATTTGAACATTGATAACTGAGTTAAAGCAATTTAAAATGTCATTCTCTGCTGGGGTGATGGATTCCACTTCAGTGAAATTTCATCCAGGGAAGTGGCAGATTCTCCCTCTCTGAATTTCTTCAGATAAATTCAGCACAGCTGTGATGTGAGAGGGTCATAACACCCTGGCTGCATGGGCAGCCCACTATTGTTTCACTTCCAGTAATCTGGGAGTTGGTCATTAACTTGACTGTTTCCAAGTGGGGGTCTGTTTAACCCCTGCCCCACTTGAGTGCAGTCAAACTGCATTGCCAGAGACCCAGAATACCCCTCGGGGGCTGATTTCCTTGCAGACTCCACATGCCGTTGCCCACGGGCTGCCTGTGAAACCAGCTGCCAGCGGCAGACACATCCCAGAGCCGCTTGACCAGAAAACCCTGCTCCTAGGGATGCGGCCAGCAGTGGTCCCAGCGCCGCAGCCCTGCTGTCACCGTGCTGTGTGCTCCCTGCAAAGAGGCTGGTAAGAGTTATTGCTTTCGGGTAGTTGGGGGGGGGGTAGCAAGGGGGATTCAGCCTTCAGAGATACACAGGCAGTTTCCACAGCTGGGGATAAGGGCAGGTTGCAGGGCTGGCTCCAGGTGATCCAATCTGTGACCATAAATTGGCCTTGGTCAAAGCATTTCAGGTCAGCTAATGCTGCACTGGCCCCCTCAGGTAAGACCTTTCTGCTCTGTTAGTGTTTTGGGGCTTTCTTGGTGTTAGGATATCTTAGGCCTTTCCCTTTTTTGCCATGGAAAGCAGGATAAACATGGCTCTGCAGGCTGGAAGTGGGGATTGTCACTGAAGCTGAAGGCTTTTTTGTTGTGCTGTGCAGCTGGCAGGTGCGAGGAGAGCACGGTTCTGTGCCGTGGGGCTCAGGGGGCTGTGGGGTGGGCTTGCCCATGTCTCTAACACAGCTGTGCTCTCCCAGCTGCTCCCTGTGGTACCCTCCTACATGGCCTGGATGCAGGGGCAGCTGCTCAGGATCATATATTTATTTGGAGGCTTAGAAGCTACCTAGAAACCTCAAAAAGATTGGAAATTAAACAGGGGGCTAGAGAAGGAAATAGAGGCTAGTTAAATACTGAGGTCATCAGTGAAAGACCTGAGGAAGCCAGGCAGTAAAATCATCACAGAAATACAGTCTATTGCAGTGAAAGAGCCTCATATAGAAGATTGTATCTTTTCCTTTATATAGTCCCCTGAAACTATTCTCCGTAGTATT